ACAGTATTGTTAACAGTTAGTGTTAACAGTAGTGTTTAACAGGTAGAACCTGCAAAAAAAAAAATCAGACCAAGAACAAAATAAAACTGAATAAAACTTAAATAAATTAATGTAGTAATGTAATGTTGTTGTCTGCACAACTGAAGGCTGAAACTTAATTTTTTTATGAACCCAATAACATCTGCAGTACCAACCCTCTATTATCACCATAAAGGGTGTTTAATGAATGTCAAAGATAACAAACTGCCAAAACTCTGAAGTATATCCTTGTGTATCAGTCCAAGATCAAATAAAACTGCAATAAATCCAAAGGTTGAACAATGGTCAATCAACTAGTGATTACAGCCCATTTTGAATCAGCGCCCATGTTGATAAGATTCCTCAGAATGTGATGCTAAACTCACCACCTGGTTACAGAATGACTTCTCAAAGAGCAATTGAATTCATTGCCAAAACTGATAAGCCAAAAACAGTATCCTCAGTAAGTACCATTCATCCTATTGACATGAAATTCTGAATAAAAGCATTAAAAATATGTACACTAAAAAACCTGTAAATAAAATAATATCATAGTAAAAATAAATAACAGAGTACTGTTGTGACAGGTGACAAAGGTAATAGCCTGGTGAGTAATAGTACAATCTGTGAACTATAATCTAAAATGTTATTAAATCTAATAAACAGCTCTTCTTAGACAAACTAATATATCATCAGTGATCTTCCAGATCTTCTAATATCTCCAGTTTCATGACTGGTTACCCAACAATCACAGTGCGGTTGACCCATACATGCAGATGATATGCAACGCTGTTGTGCAAAAATACACAGCGTCGACACAAAATTTAATGAACCCTATCATGGCATAAGAATATTAGTCATCACCAATTCTCATGGTATGAGTCCAGTACCGCCAAACAGTCTCAGGACTGAGAGCCTGTAACCTTCACACTGGACAACCTCAATTCCCCCTAAACATTATATGATTACAGTTATGGATGTAAGCATTTGCAAAGCACTCTTTTTGTTCATCCTTGCATGTGAGTACTATAACATCCAATGATATTTAGAATATAAACCGATCAGCCCTAACACTGTGATGTGTTAGAAACAGGGAAAATGGGCAGCGTAAAGATTTGAATGACTTTGACAAGGTCCACATTGTGATGGATGACTGGGTCAGAGCAATGTAAACTCACCTGCTGATTAAAGGTGTGAAACACTGTTTAAGAGTCATTGTCAAGTGGTGCCAAACTGTATTTTCTTTTGATTGATCTTGGCCTGGTTATTTCCCCCTGCAATTTAGTTTACAGGATTGTTTATCATTTCATTCAATAAAGAGTTAAGCTACGATAGTTTCCTCCATTTTGGACTCTCTGTTCCCTCACAGGTCAGCTCTGTCAGGATGGTTTGTTTGTCAGCGATGGGCAGGGCCGGACCAAGGCATAAGCAAACTAAGCAGCTGCTTAGGGCCCTGTGACCACTAGGGGGCCCCCAAGAGCAATTAACTTAAAAAAGAAAAAAGTAATTAATTATTTTTTTCCATGTGTGAGTGATGATGATTCATATATTATCAAATGTACATTGTTGTACATAAAAACCCAACAACAATACAATGTTAACAGAGTGTAGTTTCCTACTGCCTCTCTGCTCAAATCAAATCAAATTTTGCTTAGGGCCCCATGGAGGCTTGGGCCGGCCCTGGCGATGGGAATTAGATTGTCAAAGTTCACCGAACTTGAACGATGTTGCTAAAATTTTGCACGGGTTTACTTTGTCCCCACAAACGAATTCACTGCTCACTTCCGATAAATGATACGATAAATTTTAAATAAAACTGTAAAACATAATGTAGCAAATGATGTCATTATTTTGCCTTATATATTTGGCATTTATAAATACATAAAAACACTGAATAAAGCTGCTAACATTAGCTCAGCTTATTTCTCTGATAACTTAAGATCCAGACGTCTGATGACTAAAATCCTTCATCGGGTTCAAATATAAAGTTAAAAACTGACGCAGCCACAAAGGGGATATGAAGACATTGACAGGCGACTGGTGAAACACATGGTTACCTGAATAAAATTACAGATTTCTCTGAGTTTGAACATTGTTAGAAACATTTGGGATAATGTAAGAACACAACTCAACTACATATAGAACATAGAGCTAGAGTTTCTTGAACATTTTAATGTGGAAATGTGACATATTATAGCTTCAAGTTAATGTATGTAAGTATTATCAGCAGAATGCATTTAAAGTACTCAAAGTAAGAGTACTCATAGTGCAGTAAAATGTTCCCTGTCAGTGTTTTACTATTATACCAGATGTTTGTTTTGTTTTTGTTTTTTGGATACTTTAATCTACAGCAATGCATCAAATTGTATAAGATCATCGTGTGTTTGAAACTCAGTGTACAGTTGTTTAATGAAATGCTGCCCTCTGGTGGTCACAGAAGAAAATACACAAACACATTTGGCAGAACAGTGTCTAACTTCAACAACATAACACTCGACAATAATAACTGTGAACAGGCAACTATGTGCTTATGTTTAAACTATAACTGTATTCTCTGCATTTGATACTATTACTGCCACTATAGTCCTCAATGATAGCATACATTCACTGGAGGAAATAGCTGTCTTCATAAAGGTCTGCACACTCTGATGAAGACCTAGAGCTCACATTAATTCATCCGCAGACATACGCCTCTGCACCACTTGACAGTATGCCAGATTTCCTGTTGTCTTGTAGTATTGTGTATCAGAGATAAAGTATCTAGAAGATTGAATATTTCTTTGCTTTGGAATAGGCTTGTGAGGACGTCTGATCAGACACAAAAACTGAGCTGAAATTCTTCTTTTATTTGAATGATGTGGTCTTAATTTTACAGAACAGGTTTCTTTGTGATACTTTGTGATACGACTAAGCTGTCATATAATGTATGAGTTTGTAATGAAATGTTTGACCACTGCCAACCCGGTCTCATATAAAAACGTACCTGTACTTGTGTCTTTGTTGATGTCCTGAGCACACTGAAGCAAATCCCTAGCAACTTGCACTGAGTTGTATGGCAATACAGTATTGAATCTTGAATCTTGAAACTTATAAAGCCATTAGGGTTGGGCACTTTAAGTGCATGACATGGGAAAGAAATGGTCCAGAACACAACTTATACAAACAATTGAAGCCACCATTGCACATACACCTGAATAGACTTTACAGTGAACTAGGGGACAGCTTGTGTCCAGCAGGAAAACTTTATTAATTAACAAAAACTAGGCCAGTTTTGTAGATACAGGGCAAAAATGGACTAAAATCCGGTTCAAATCTAGAGTTAAAATGCACCAAGATCTAAACAGTGGATGGTAACAATGTGGCTTCAGACTGGATCAACAGTCAATGTATGACAGCTTCTGGTAGACAACCACAACGCTGACACAGGCACAAAGGTGATATGACGCCATCGACAGGCGACTGGTGAAACACAGTGTTACCTGAATAAAATGACAGATTTCTCTGAGTTTGAACATTGTTGGAAACATTTTGGTTAGTGTAAGAACTCAACTACATATAGAACATAGAGCCAGAGCTTATACACTGTTTAATATGGAAATATTACATATTAATGTATGTTAGTATTATCAGAAGAATGTACTGAAAGTAAAAGTACTCATAGTGCAGTAAAATGTCAGTGTTTTACTATTATACCTGATGTTTTTAACTAAAATTTTAATTGATATTACTTCTGCATTAATGTACGTGTTGCATTTTACTTCTGTAGATGTTTTTGGTTGAGCTCATTTGAATTACTTTATATGCTGTTTGGTACTTTATTCTACAGCAATGCATCAGATTCTATACGATCATCATGTTTGTAGTGTGTGTGTCCTGTGAGAACCACAGATCTCTAAAAACAGCCTGTTTTTAGCTTTGTGACAATGCCTGCTCCAGAGGGTTTTTAAATACCTTATTTAACTAAAGAAGGAGGAGATAAAGGAACACTTCATACTTCAGTTTTATCATTGATTATAGTCAGTCGTGTTGTTTGACTTTTATTTGGGCGAAAACATTTTCAGCTTACTTGACATTAATGTTATTTGGCTAAATGGAAACGCTAGTGTTGTCTCAGTTATCATGAGTTGATGATTACAGCTCTGAAGCTCAGTGTACAGTTGTTTAATGAAATGCTGCCCTCTGGTGGTCACAGAAGAAAATACATAGTTAACCTCAGATTTGGCAGAACAGCGTCAACATTGAACACAACTCCAATTAATTCAGAACGCTGCAGCACGAGTACTGACAGGAACTAGAAAAAGAGATCACATCTCTCCTGTACTAGCTACTCTGCATTGGCTCCCTATAAAATGTAGAATAGAATTTAAAATCCTCCTCCTCACCTATAAAGCTCTTCATGGTCAGGCCCCTTCATATCTTAAAGAGCTCATAGTACCCTATTACCCCTCTAGAACACTACGTTCTCTGAATGCTGGGCTACTTGTGGTTCCTATAGTCTCTAAAAGTAGAACAGGAGCCAGAGCCTTCAGTTACCAAGCTCCTCTCCTGTGGAACCAGCTTCCAGTTGTGGTTCGGGAGGCAGACATCCTCACCACATTCAAGAGTAGGCTTAAGACATTCCTCTTTGATAAAGCTTATAGTTAGGGCTGGATCAGGTGAGTCCTGAACCATCCCTTAGTTATGCTGCTATAGGCCTAGACTATCGGGGGATTTCCCATGGTGCACTGAGCTACTCTCTTCCTCTCTCTTTCTGCACTCATTCATGTCCCTTTAATGCATGTTACTAACTCCACTTCTTCCCCGGAGTTCTTGTGCTTTCTCGTCTCGCAGGTTCTCATGGATCCTGGTGGAGCCTCCTGCCATGGTCCTGCTTGACTGCCATTGCCAATACTGTTGTTGCTGTGCACCTGTCTGTCTGTCTGTCGCTCTCTCTCTCTCTCTCTCTCTCTCACCCCAACTGGTCGAGACAGACGACCACCCACCTAGAGCCGGAGGATCTGTCCTAGGTTTCTGCCTTTTAACAGGCAGTTTTTCCTTGCCCTTGTCGCCAAGTGCTTGCTCATGGTGGTACTGTTGGGTCTCTGTAATTAATGTTAAAGAGTTCGGTCTAGACCTGCTCTATTTGAAAAGTGTCCTGAGATAACTTCTGTTATGAATTGGCGCTATACAAATAAAATTGAATTGAATTGAATTGAACTCAACCTTCCTCTATATGGGACAGGCCTTTAATTCCTTTTGCTCAGCAAAAATGGAAATACTGTTTATTTAAACCAGTAAGAATACTATATTAGTAACTGAAACTTGTATTGAACAACATTATCAATCACCGATCACAGATTTGATGGTTCCTGTAAACTGAAGTGAAAGATTGAACTGTGGAGAATCTAACTGATGTACGAATGTGTAGCAAATTCATATCAACATATACTCAAACTTTAAAAGTTTTTTTTTTTTTACATCCAACAGCTTCTGTAAAATCCAGACCAGGTGGTTTACATACAACAATAATAACTAGTCCCTGTTGTACCCCGGTGGGTGATACACATTGATGACAGGGACCGGCTGGTTCCACTCATCATGATGCAGAACTGTGACAACACATTCTAAGGTTGTTAAGGAGTCAAAAGGAATGTTTTCACCCTGCAGCTCCTGTGAGAACTGAATTGCTACCCCTCCTCCCCTTTGACCAACCCTCACCTGATAATGATAATTGTAATTCTGTGGTGAAGCCTCCCTGAGGACTCTGTCTGCATTGTCTTCTCGTAACCACGTCTCTGTTGTAAGAAAGATGTCCAGGTTGTTTTTTGGTATGAGCTTTAAGATCCTGTTTTTTTTACCAGGGGATCGTTTCTTATTCATTGAGCGAACATTAAGTAACCCCACTCACCCCATTGTTCCAGGAGGTGTCTGGATAGTTCTCTGCTCTTGGTCTATCCAACTATCCTTACACTGTCTGACCACTTCCTCACTGTCTCCTCTTTGTTTACTTCGAGTGCCCTTCTTTCGATGGCGCTTTGTCCTTTTTCTACCAGTGCTTGCTTTCATCTTCCTCTGTCTCTTCCTCAGTCTCCTCATCCTCCTGATCATTCGCCTCATCTTCACCACCACTCTCCTTATCTCCCTGACCACCCCCTCCCTGCTGACCACTTCCGGTCTCTTCATTTTGATGACTTTCTCTCTCTTGCCCACTTCTGGTCTGCACAGTTTGATCACCTTCTTCCCATTGTCTTTTAGCTTTCTCCTCTTCTTCTCGTTGTCTTTTAGCTTTCTCCTCTTCTTCTCGTTGTCTTTTAGCTTTCTCCTCTTCTTCTCGTTGTCTTTTAGCCTTCTCCTCTTCTTCCCGTCGTCTTTTAGCCTTCTCCTCTTCTAATATCTTTCTGTGAATAAAACAAGTGAACAGACAGTTAGCATAAATCACCATCAGTGGTTGCAAGCAAACAGATTTCACCCTGAAATAATGTTGATGTAAATGTTGGGAAGTAATGACCTGTATCAAAATTAGAGATAGAATGTTGTCAGTTTGTAGGTCACAGGTCGGACTATGTATTGTTCGGTTCATCCTACACACTGGACCTTTAAGATTTGACAGTGTTGTCCCAAAAACACACAGAACCCAACTGAAAGCAGCAATATGAACCTGAATGTTGTCAACCGTTCCATCCCCTGTCAAAATGTGTCCAATGAAACAGTCTGTGAATTTGCTTGCGAGCATGTTGTTAGCTTCAGAGTCTGGAAGTGATTATTTGTCATTTTGAGGACTTTTCGTCTGTCATGCTACAGATTTATCCATATTCTAGGAAAAATATGAGTATGTATGAGTACAAAAATGAAGCCAGAATATCCTGATACGGTCAGTATCTGATACAGTCTGTATCGGTGTCCACCTGTAAAGTCAGTGGTCTGACTATACAGGTGGACAGTAAAGTAAAGTTTCTTTGGATGGGTTTTCCAGCAGGACAAGCAGTCAGGATTTGAAGTCACATGAATCTAAACTAAATGAGTCCAGCTGCTGTTCTCAGATCTACAGGAGGAGAGAATCTGGGTGGAGAATCACAGAAAACTTCTTACTTCATGTTGTCGAACTGTTCCCTCAGTGTCTGGCAGATCTTTTCAATGGCCTTAGCTGTATCTCTCAGTGATTGGCTCGCTTCAGTCACATGATTATTCTTGATCTGGTCTTTCCAGTTGTCAATCGCCTCAGGAAGTTCAAACGCCAGTCCAACAGCTCCTCCTACAACCTGATGATGAATATGGATCAACACGTGATTCATTTTCAATATTATCAGACTGTCAGCCTCAGAACACGTGTCCCAAAATCATTAAAAAAAACGATAATTAACAATCACAAATAAAGAAATGCTGTTATTTAATTTTAAAATGATTTATGAGATTTAATTATGAAACAATTCATGTGTGTATAGTTAGTGAATCTTACCATAGCGCCTCCTTTAAAGGCTGTTTTACATCCAGTCTTAGCCATGTCTTTGGTGAGTTTTTTTGCTCCTTCTTCAGCAATTTTAATCATTGGTATGGTGAATTCTTTAGCTCCTTTATTAAACAAATGTTTGTATATTTTCCCATTAACTTTAAATGTGAAAAATTGTAAAATATTGGCAAGTTTTACTACCAGTGCAACTTTCACTGCAGGTCTGAGTAAGATCTGGTTGATGTTTCTCTTTATTGCAACAAAAATCCTCTTGAAATTCAATGCCATTTCAGTCCACATCTTCTGGCCAGGCCTTTCAGAATGTCAGTTATGACGTGTTGGTGGTCCACTTCATCTGGGTCAGTGGAGGAACTCTCAACCTTCAGTTGCTTGAACAGATCCTGGATTTCTTCTGCAACCTCTTTGCTCTTCTTTTCAATCTCCTGTGCCTCTTTCATGGTGTGGTGGTGATTTAAGAAGTCACAGATATGGTAAGACCTACACCTGAACACGCTGCTCCTGCCACTAAAAGTGGAGCAGCTGCACCGCCAGTGAACAAAGTGGCCACAGCAGCCCCGATCAGAGATAAGGATCCAACCACTGCATATGTGCTTCCAACACATTCTGCAGCGTTACACTTCTCCCTGAGTGACTCCAGCTCTTGGTCCAGTTTCCTCAGTTTCTCTGCGAAGCACTCCCTCTGCTTGATCCAGGAGAACATAGGAGTAATAGATGCTGATATTTACAGTAACTGAACTTTAGCTTTGGTCCAATCAGAGAGGCTGAGGCCATGTCATTGTCAGATAAATGACCAAACATGCATCGCGTTAACTGTCAGAGGTTTTGTACCCAGAAGTTATTGTAAACCAATCCGTCTTTGATTTCAGACTCTGGACTTCATGCGAGAACAGACTCATATACTCTCCTTTGCATCACATTATAGATGAGAGTGGCCAAGTCGGGTACTTTGGCCCTGTATGAAATCCCGCCCCCTTTTAGGTGAAAGCAGTGGTAAAAGTAAATTCTGAGGCCACTGTCAGTTTAATATCATGAAATGAGAGTAGTGTATTGCTTTTTATCCATTAGGGGCATACATCCTATGTGCAGTCCCTAACAATGCTGTTGTGTTGTTGTGGTTGTATCCACCGATCAGCAGTAACAGTATATAGACTGATATATTGATCACTAACAGTATATAGACTGATATATTGATCAGCAGTAAGACTGTGAGCACTTTTGATACGTACTGACCTCTGCAGACCGGCAACACGCCACAAGAGCTGCAGGTTAGGAGATGTTCTGACCCAGTCAACCAACCTTAATTATGTCGTCCATTATGGCGGCATATCACTGCCAAAAACCATGAGCAGATTACTTTTGCACACAGAATTTCTCTGCTGGCGAGAGCATTTTGGTAGTCTGTGAGGAGAAAACTATTTGTTGAGCAGGCGCAAGATCAGAGCTACAAATAATAGAAAGTGATTTTTTTTTTGGCAGTAAGTAGCCATGTCACTACATATGATTGGTTACAGTCCCTCCTTTGTGATTGGCCGTCATAAGAGGGAGGGATGTCAAAGCAGGAGAGCCAGGAGGAATCCTGTTTTCAGCTTTGTGACAATGCAATAATCCAAAGAGTTTTTAAATTACTTATTTATCTTAAGAAGAAGTAGGAGTAAGAATTTTTTCAACCTATAAAGGAACATTTCATCCTTCAGTCACAAACATTCAATCAACACATCTGGAGATACGTGGTTTATACATGATTATTCTAAAATGTAGTGGATTGTATGCAAGTATCAGGTTGCATACAATGGACACAAGTACCTCATATTGTCAGACATTATTTACTATTTTCAACATTTTCGAATAAGACACTGAAATACTGGAGATATCATTTCTTTATTTCTCAACATGTTTTCGAGCAGTTGAGTAGTGATATACTCTTCTAATCCTGAACATAGACTGAATTATGCACATAGCACTCCCCACTATAATGGTGTCTCTGTTCAGATGTTCAGATGATGGGTTTGTCCAGTAAGCAACTGACAGTGATCTTGTGTTTCTCCTTCATCTCATCTTCATCTTCACTGTTCACTGTTTGGGTTTATTGTACAGTTTGAATATGAATGAACTGTATGAATATAATATCAAATATCCATAACGTATGTCACTTAAGCAGGGGCCGTCAGTTTAGTCACTGACAGAAAAGGGTCCCTTTAGGAGAAAGGTTGGGAATCAGTGATCGATATAGTCACAAATAATATGGTTTGTAAAGGTGTCAGTGAAAGTCATGTTGATGAAATTTTTGGTTTTGTATTGCTACTGTGCAGCCATTTGAAACAATAAAGCAGTAGCTTATAGGACTGAACAATTCATCAAAATATTTTCAAAATATCCGTATAGCCAAGTGCAATATGCAAATTGTAATTGAAGATGTGTGGCCTGCTAAATGCATGGCAACCAATTACAGACAAACAGTAAGTGAAACCCAAACCCAAACCTCAAGTCAAGTTTGGCTCCAACTAAATATGCTGTATACCAATTTCAGTGAACAATAGATGAGATATGTGCCAGGAAGCAAAAAAATCCTAAAGTCCAAAATGGCAGAATGTTTTTAAGACGCAAATGGGCGTGGCCTATAGCCATACAATTCTAATCATGATACAAGGAATCCACTGTACTAATATATATATATATATATATATATATATATATATATATATATATATTGTATAACTTTTGAACCATTTGAAGTAGGAGAAACATATATATATATATATATATATATATATATATATGAAAACTGTATCCCCATAACCTTAAGTAGCAATGACTTTATGAGCCTCTTTATAATAAAATTATTACTATTAGATTACCATATTACCACCACTATTAATAACCAAATGCCCTCAGGTATCGCTGTCTCTCCAAGTTCAGGAAGTTTAACAGCTGTGTTGATTGAATCTGACTGATCTCTACTGCCATCTGGTGTTTGAGCAGCAGATTACACTCAGTGACTGATTAACGTTGCTCTGGTCATTTGTTCAAAGACATCAAATGAAATATATTTATAGTTCCCTGACAAACACATATTTATATAATCCTAACATAAACTTCTGAATAAATACAGTTAAATCAAGAAATGACGAAGCTTGATGCAGACTGTCTGTCAGGTTGCTTCCACAGTGAAAATAAATGCTTTCAAAGTCAATAACAAGTAATATCACGTCTGTTTCTGGTTAGACAAAAAGTCTATCTCTGCGGGGATCCTTTCCATAATCTTTGCACAGCTGTACATTTTATATAACCTTTAAACCAAGAACAAATATATTTACCAAATAATACATCAGAAAGAAATAATTCTAAATGTTCAGAAGTCACAATCTGTGGCGGCCGTCTCTGCTGTGGCCTTTGGTTGTGTTGCTGGGGGGCCGGATTGGGGGGCCTGTTCTGTCACTCTCTGTTAACCTGGTCTGGCCTCATTCTGCAGAGCTGAATGTAACGTTAATTATTATGGTGTTATTATTATATTATATTGTATACAATTATCATATTGTTCTTCCTCTGTCTCTTCCTCTTCCACTCTCCTCATCCTCCTGATCACCCCCTCCCTGCTGATCCCTTCCTGTCTCTTGGTTAGTCTCTGTTTCTGTCTCAGGTTCTCTTCTAGTCTGCTCAGTTTCATCACCTCATTCCCTCACATGTCTTTCATTTTGTCTCTGTGATTGCTGAAAACTAAACAAATAAACTGAAAAATTACCAGCAGCACAAGCAGCACATCAGTCTTTTCCGTCTGGAAGCCTTTTCCTCGTGACGTTTCACCATCTCGTCAAAGATTTGCCTGTGAATGAAACAAGTGAACGTAGAGTTAGCATCATTCAACAAACCCCAACACCAGTGGTTGCCAACAAACAAAATTAACCCTGAAACAAGATTTATATAATTAATTGAAAGCCTCTGTTTGCAGGTATTTTCTTACAAATATTAGCATATAATGATACCACATGTTACCTGAAATCTGAAATTCTTCTTCTGTTTTATATTTCTGTGGTCATCCCTGCCGTACAGTGTTGTATTGACATGGTACTAATGTTTGTCCACTACTTTAAAGGCAAAACTGCTCCACCAAATGGGATTGAAGATTCAAAGATTGAAGGTGACCTGTGAACACCTGAGAAACTCTATGAATCATCCTACAATAATATCACATGAAGGCTGACCAACAGCATTGTCTCTGACCCCAACCACATCTGTAAATACACATTGTTACCATCAAGCTGGAGATATGTTATATGGGGTTCCAGGATTTCACTGAAGCACTCCTTTGTGCACCAGTTCATCCTAAAATTCATTAAAGCTCCAAGCAGCAATGAACAGCCCTTGCAGTCATGTTATGTGCCGGCATCATGTGTAGACCATACCATGAAAATTTCATGTAAATCAGATAATGATCTTCATACAAGGCTTACTTCCTGTTTCAAGCAGGTGGTCAAAATTTGACGCCATGCCATGAACACGCCATTCAATCAAAACTCACAAGATTCATAAAACTATAACATCAACAAGGTCTTAAAGCTTTTCCTGAGCAGATTCAAGTTGGATCTCGTCAACATGCTAGGAGGAGCATCAATGTATAAAACATCCCACTTCCTGTTGCCAGTAGGGGGCAGTGGTACAGTGATTGAATATTTTTATGTGGATGCCATTTAATGAAAACTCACAAATATCAACATTTTTAATTCCAAAAGTCTTTGGAGTATACTAACCAACTTTGAAGCAGATCCAATCAATTCTCTAGGAGGAGTTTGTTAAAATACAACATGTGGAAATGACAAAAATGGCACCAATGTTCAGGCCTTAAATATGGAACTTAATCCTTGAATATTGTCTTCTGTGTTTGAAATGGTTTCATACATCTATGTAGCTTTGTTTGGAGCTGCTTGAAAAATAATCAATCAATCAATCTGTTTTCTAGCTAGCATAGTGTTAGATTTAGTATCTCTAAGTGAAGTATTTTAAGGACTGCTCATAGGTCATTGATACCACTTAGTGGGTGAGGTTGTTATTTGTTAGAATCACAGAAAACGTCATACTTGATTATGTTGAACTGTTCCCCCAGCATCCCGGTGATCTCTAGAATGGCGTCAGCTGTATCTCTCAGTGATTGGCTCGCTTCAGTCACATGATTCTTCTTGATCAGGTCTGTCCAGTTGTCAATCGCCTCAGGAAGTTCAAACGCCAGACCAACAGCTCCTCCTACAACCTGATGATGAATATGGATAATTTTCAATATTATAAGACAATGAAGAAATAATTCAATCATAAATAACAAAAGTGTGATATGTAGTAATATAAAGATACTTATGTGTGATTATCAGATAATATATTGGTATTACCATGACACCTCCTTTTAGCGCTTTTGAAGACATTTGTTTGATGATATTTTTAGCTCCTTTGGCACCAGTTTTGATGAACTGGTCAGTTCCTAGAGCACTACCTTTGCATGTATGTTTGATCAGTTGCTCAGCTCCTTTAGCCAAGAAACGTTTCAATGTTTTTCCACAAAGCTGAAGTGCAAAAAATGCTAAAATTCCACCAAGTGAAACCATTACTTCAGGGTTCAAGAAGCTCTGGTTGAGCCTCTCGTTTGACTGTTCTTTGTCGAAAAGAATCTGTAGCTCTTTATCAAGCCTGCGGATCCGAATCCTCCCCTTCAGTCCACTTCGCCTGGCTATGGCTTTCAGAATTTCAGTCATGACGTGTCGGTCCTGTTTATTTGGGTCTGTGGAGAAACTCTCCACCTTCAGTTGTTCAAACAGCTTCTGTATTTCTTCTGCAACCTCGTTGCTCTTCTTTTCTATCTCTTGCGCCTCTTTAATGGTGTCACTGGATTTGAAGCCCTCAATGATTTTAGTACCCACAGATACAGTGGCACCTGCACCTGTACACACTGCTCCTGCCATACCTAAAAGTGGAGCAGCTGCACCGCCGGTGAACAAAGTGGCCACACCGGCTGCGATCATACATGCAGATCCAGCCACTGACACTGTGGTTCCAACACATTCACTGATATTACAATTCTTTCTGCATGACTCCAGCTCTTTGGCCAGTTTCCTCAGCTGCTCTGCACAGCACTCCCTCTGATCGATCCAGGAGAACATCAACTCCAGCAGCTGGTCCGCGATGGCCATGATGTAGGTCTCTGTGTCCTTCTGATCCTCCAACCAGAGACCAGACAACTGAGAACAAGTCTGAAAGAAGAAAGTCCCTTTGAATTATCTGGTGCAACTAAAAACATCTCCATGACACCTGAGTAAACTGTATCTGCTGATGAAGACCATGAAACACAAGTAAAAGCCCCAAAGAGGCCCTTGAGTTAAATTTCCTTGTCAAACTTGTCAGGTCAAGAATTAATTTTTTACATTAGAAATCATTTAAAGCAGCTGGTTTAACAAACTGTAGAACTGTAAAATAACTTCTCTTTAAATGTTTTTGATGAAGTGAGTTAACACACAAGAAAGAAAAAATGAGTAGCAAGAAAAGTTAATTCATCATGTTTTGCTAAAACTGGGAGATTAGAGTGCATCTAATTTCTCCAGTTTAACAGAGTAAAAACCACGTCTGACTGTCAGTGTATTTGCACAATAAACTTCCTCATAGCTACACATACACACTGTAACCCCTATACAGGAAGGATTACAGAACACACACGATAGGATCACATCATTGCCATGTTCTTAAGAAATTAAATATCTTAAGTTTTAATAATTTCATTTAATTTGCTGATCTTAAACTCATCTATAAATGTCTACATATCCAGACTCCCCAGGTGCTCATTTTAAACTTAAACAGTCTTTGGAAGAGAATCTGTTGCCATGAATGATCAGGTGTCTTTAAAGGCCCATCTAGGGACTGGTTTTGAGTTTAGGCTACTGGAGTAATGCAGGGTATACGCAAGTATATGGGCTATACCCACTTATTTCTTTTCTATTTTCAGAATTGGGTAGATCCACTTCTAAACCCCCTGTGAGGCTCATCAATCAGTAGTGTTCTGTGAGCTCATTATTTTTCCCTAGGATGGACGAAGACATGACATACAGCAGTTTAATGAGTGAATGAAGTAAAGACTAAGGAAAAATAAATAATAATAATAAATAAATAGTATTTATTGCAAGATCTGCTCCTCTTCTGTGTCTAATGTTAATTTCATAATGAACCTTACTGCCGGAAGTCAACAGCAGTAGAAGTTAAGTGACAAGGTGCAAATATTACCTGCCCATTTGTTAGTCAACTATACAAAAGTAGTCTTCCCCTGTCACTGTTTGTAACACAGGGAGTTTAGCGTTTGTTTGATGGGCTCCTTAGAAACATTGGGGACATAGATAAATGTGTAGCCACTTCTCCAGGCAGCACTACACAACTGGCTTCGGCTATAAATGCTGTGGTGTGTTGCATTTGTTTATGCTATATGCTAAGATACAAACAAACATAAAAAACAAGACACCTAAATCATCTCAATGACAACTGAGCAAACTCCATCCACTGAGGAAGGCCACAAGATGTAGATGAAAGCTCAAGAAACAGCCATTAATGTGGAGCTTGTGTTGAGATTTTATTGCTGATCTGCTGTTTTAAAGATCAAGAATGAAACTTCAAGCTGACTAGAATATGATGTGTCATAAACTGAAGTAAATATGTTGGAGGAACAAAACACAGAGAATGTAATTGTAATCTTACCTGCTGTGGAGCGTCACAGGTTAAAGTCCTTACCTTTTGTTGAGAGACAGGAGGCAAACACATATAGTTGCATGTTTCTGTTTTTCTATTGGCTGATTCAGAATCAGGTGTTACCAAAAGTAAAAGTGAAACTGCTGCAGTGGAATTCCCCAGGACAGATCTGTAATAAAAACATATCTATGAATATTATATTACATTACACACTGGATCCTAAACGCCTCAATGTTAAATGTTTTTAAACTGTATTTTCAAAATATTTCATGTCATTTTTTAAGCAGGTGAAGTGTAATTGATCAAAAACAACCCAAAAATGAAATAAGACAAAACTCCTTCCTGCTCGGGATAAAAAGGCAACGGGACGGTTACTTTATTGATGAACACAACAACGAATACATCAAGTTCTGGTAGCACTGTAATAACATTGGTCATTACCATATTAAAATGCTGAAATTAATCTTCCCTTATGTTTCAAACATTGCTTGGTGTTTCAAGGTAATACTGTACAAATAATATGTTTAATGCTGTGACCTGTTAGCTGGAAACAACTGTTTCTGTTGAATTTCTCACTAATTAATTAATCACCATTAATGCATGTTACTAACTTCACTTCTTCCCCGGAGTTCTTGTGCTTTCTTGTCTCACAGGTTCTTATCAATCCTGGTGGAGCCTCCTGCCATGGTCCTGCTAGATTGCCATTGCCAATACTGTTGTTGCTGTGCACCTGTCTGTCTCTCTCTCTCTCTCTCTCTCTCTCTCTCTCTCTCTCTCTCTCTCTCTCTCTCTCTCTCACCCCAACTGGTCGAGACAGACGACCACCCACCTAGAGCCGAAGGATCTGTCCTAGGTTTCTGCCTTTTAACAGGCAGTTTTTCCTTGCCCTTGTCTCCAAGGTCTTGCTCATGGTGGTACTGTTGGGTCTCTGTAAATAATGTTTTAAAGAGTTCGGTCTAGACCTGCTCTATTTGAAAAGTGTCCTGAGATAACTTCTGTTATGAATTGGCGCTATACAAATAAAATTGAATTGAATTGAATTGAATTAATTTCAACTAAACACATTTCATACGGTTGATGTTTTGAACATATTTTACATTTCAAACAAATGTATTTTATTGGCATATTCACCATTATTTGTATATAACATAAAGGGATGATTTGGAAACAAACCAACAGCAGAATCAACACAATCTCAGCAACTGTATGCACACACACTAAAACTTGTACTACGAGTGTTTGGTAGTCGTTCCACAATTTTCTGCAGACCTGTTGGACTGATAGTATCTGTAAATTCCCTGAACAGGTGAGTCTCCCAGACAACAGATCACGTGTACACTTTTTTAGGTACACTGGTACAATCAAAGGCAGTCCAATACAACAGCTCTGCCATCAACTCTATATTTAGAGAGATTATAATGTTGAGTTTCTGTTGACCCTGTCAGACAGGTTTACAGATGTGAGGTGGGAGGGGTTATTTCAGGTCAAAAAAACTAAGCAGTGAATCAACTGCACTTAAAGAGTTTATTTTATTTATGTTTTATTTTATTATTTGGTTGTAGAGGTTGGAGGTACTGGGGGCTGTGGTTGAGGAGGTTGGAGGTACTGGGTGCTGTGGTTGAGGGGGTTGGGGTACTGGGGCTGTGGTTGAGGAGGTTGGAGGTACTGGGGCTGTGGTTGGGAGGTTGGGGTACTGGGGCTGTGGTTGGGGGTTGGGGACTGGGTGCTGTGGTTCCTTCTCTAAGATTCTGGAGAAAGAGTCGCCAAGAGTTGTGTGAATTTCTACATAACAATAGTTTATTTGAGGATTTTCAGTCAGGATTTAGAGTTCATCATAGCACAGAGACAGCTCTGGTTAAAGTTAATAATGACCTTCTGACTGCTTCTGACAATGGACTTGTCTCTGTACTTGTATTATTAGATCTTAGTGCTGCATTTGACACCATTGACCATAATATTCTTTTACAGAGACTTGAGCATCAAATTGGCATTAACCCTTCAGAAGGCTCTGGCTTGAAAGTGGTTTGAGATAGAGACAAAGTGTAAAACGGACAAATATTGAGAATGACCTAAAGTTTATCTAGGGAGTAAATTGTCCCATCTAATTTGCATATTATGACGTCATATGGCGGCGGCCATATTGGATTAGGTGATTTCCATGAAATACCTGATATTTTGAAAGAGAGTTAAACTTATTTCATCAGATTCACCCCCCTCCTAACCAAGCCTTCCTAGTGTACCAGCTACGGGAGAAGCCGCCTCTTCCCTTTCTCGCTAGCCTGCTGTCTGATTGAGAGCTCGGGTTGATCTGGGCCCAGCTCTTTCACCCGAACTTTCTCCGACAAAGTTCTCCTCTTAAACGGATCTTGGAGGAGAGATTTCACCGAGTTAGGGTTGGTTCTTGGAGGAGTAACGTTCGTAAAATGGCGCCCCTAGAGCCCGGTCCTTATTTTATCTGGGGCGAGCTTGGGGCGATAAAATAATCGCCCTTCTTGGATTCGATTTAAGGACGCTGATTGGCTAAATTTTATGTCTTACATTCATATCTTAAATTAGCAATTGGCTTAACTGCTACATAGACCCGCCTCCTGGGGGCGCTTTCTCTATCGCCCCAGAGCTGATGAGGCGTTCAGGCAGGCAAAGGAAAGGTTACGAATATGATTTTCTGTCATATTTTACACATATTACTGGGTGCATTCCATATTTCAAACACACAAACATTGTCATACTGATATTTTTATCATTATTATTATTATTTTTGTTTTTAATTTTTTAATTTTTTTAATTGTTTATTTATTTTTTTTTTTTTGTGGCTAAGGGGGGCGGCGCCCTAGCGCCCTCTATTGGCCAGCCGCCACTGGAGGGGAATATGAACGAAATATAACACTCTATTCGGAGAAAACAGCTGTTTGATTCAGTACCATTTCATGTCGCAATTTTGTGACAGAAGGTTCTGTACTTGGACCAATTCTATTCACTTTATATATGCTTCCCTTAGGCAACATTTTTCTGAATCACTCCATTAACTTTCATTGTTATGCAGATGATGTCCAGTTATATCTATCGATCAGGCCCGATGAAATTAATCAATTATCTAAATTAAAAACATGTCTCAAAGACATAAAAACCTGGATGAGCTACAAGAGAAGAGAACCTTTTTGCTTTATTTGGCGGGTTTTGTGGTTGTACCACAGTGCTAGTCTCCTATGTTTTAATAATTTCCTTTTTATAGGCGCGATAGAGTCTAATGTTGATCGTAGTGAGCCTGCAGCACTATCAACTAGATTATCAATTTCGGAGGGATTAAAGATGTTATAGGACTCTGTTAAATTCAGACATGGCATTGAATAATATACAGACAGAATCTCCTCCTTAAGTTCAGCTACAGCACTGTCAGACATCTGCTGTAGGACGTTTTGCCTAATGGCTTATAATCTAATAATAGGAACTCAAAAGTTATTAAATAATGGTCAGATACATTTTGTGGGAAGACTATTAAATGTATGACCTCTCTTTTGCTCATCAGCCATAAAAAAAATCCTGGTGTCACAACGTCTTCTCTATCACACAAACACAATGCAGGATGAACTTTACAGTGAAGGAGCAGACATCTTCTGTCCGCAGCAAAACCTTACAAATGAGTTTTGGGGGGATTTTAATGAGGAAATTAAACCTGCAAGCAGCATTGGGCAGGACCTCGCACTTGGCACATGTCGGGGTGTGCTGCGGCCGCGTCACGTGCCGTTGTAACACGTGCGGACCACCACGCCATGCAGCACTTACTTCCTGTTGCCAGTAGGTGGCGCTATCACTATATCTGAATATTATCATGTAGGTGTGTTCAGGGCGGGACTCTTATCATCCACGTGAAGTTTCGTTGAGATTGGACATTGTACACTGAAGTTATGAGTACTATGTTTTATGGCGAAGCGGAAATTTTAAATGTCGTCACAGGCATGCGGTTCGATGTACAGTCACAAATAGCACAACTTTTCATCAGTACCCCACGTGTACTCTTCTGCGCTCCTCCCCTGGTTGTGCATGCTCTCCATCTCAGTGGAGTAGCAAAGGAGGAGCTTGTGTGCGCATGCTGTCTGCTGTATGTTGGTGGGCATCAGAAATGTTTGATATCTGTATATGTTCATTGTACAGTGGTCATAAAAGATTAGAACTGCCTTTCTGTATGTGTGATGTCCTTTAAACTGGAGAGTGTCAGAGGTTAGAAGAGATCATAGAGAGTGGGATCAACATATGAGTCAAAACCAAGCTGGAGGCCTTCTCCTCTGGGGTTGAAAACAGAGATTTTCCCCACGACACGGCAGGTTTAAAGCTCCCTGTGGTGGAGGGTCGGGCCTCTGACCCCAGTATGGGGACTGACCCTCAACCAGTAACCAGAGGCCTCAGGGACCAGTCCGTCCTCCTGTAGACTTGGATTAGAGGACCACAGGATTGAATCAGGACACCCTGGGGCACTAGCAGCACCAGGATTTTGATTGTGGGTGGGCCGCCAGAAAACTGGATGGGCCAGTTAAAATATTGCCCTATTCACACGGGACTAGTAGCCTATTACCTGGGGACTTCATGTTAGTAATAATTACCCACACCACGTCTGTGTTTCGTGCAGCGCATTCGCACGGGATAAGCGAAGCCTGTGTTTTAATTCGAATTTACTGACATTATCCCCCGGATATGATGTCAAGGCTCTGCCGCAACCTATGCGTAACAATAAAAAACCTAATAACTGGTGAGCCTGTTGAAAGATAGAAAAATGTTCCTTACCGCATGCTGCCATGCATGTAATCCATCTAATTATCTTTCGAGATTTCGCTCTTCTGATGGATTTGAGCTTGCTCTTTCTGCGAATGGGTCTCCATGCTGTGTACCTAGATGAGCCTCCTGAATTTGCACCCAAAATGCATCAAAACTTTCATTTATAATTGCCAATGCAGCCTCCATAATTCTCGACCAGGAAAAAGGCAGAAAAAAGGCGCGGAAAGCACAAAAAACCTTAAAAAAAAAAAAAAAAACAACCCCAAATCACAGAGATGCCGATTCGCACGGGACTAATATTATCACATGACCTCTGTGTTTGGCGAAATATGGAAGGTAATTTGCGGTGGAATTTTTACTTTACAAATTATGGACATGGCAGATTCGCACGGGATTAAGATCACAGACGCCCTCCGCAATTATTACAAATTACTAGAGGTCCCAGGTAATACTAGTCCTGCTCCTCGGAGTGTTTCTTGGTGAATTTAAATGAAAATAAGCTGCTTTGCTTTGCCATGTTGACATTTTCATATTAGCTAATAGCTACCTTCTGCGTCTGTCTCATTGAGCTTGCTTGAAAAGCTTGCGCGCCAACGTCATTCATTTCATTGGAACACTTGCTTGTGACGATGCAGCCTGTTGGCAGGCTTCAGAGTCCACACGTGGGGTAGAAGCCGCTGATTGGCTGAGAAGCTTTCACTCAAAGCTTTCCTCACGCTGCTTATTGGATGAACAGCTAGAATGAAAATCACTCACTACTCACTATACTATACTACCTGGGTCAAAATAGGTGGGGGCCCAATAGTAACGCCGCGGGTGCCCTGGGGGGAGTAAGGAACTATAGCTGTTACACTATATTATATTCTATCATTAGATTATTATTACTGCTGTATTTGGCTGTTGTAGCTGCTCAGGTGGAGCTGATTTCAACTATTGAGGAAGGACTGTGACTAATTATTATTGTCATTAATCTAAAATATATGAATTGCCCGTTACAATCATCCAGAGCCCACAGTGACACAATGTTGTCTGACCAACAGTTCAAAGCTGAAAATAGTAAAAGTAGTAATACTACACTACAGAAATACTCCATTACAATTTAAAGTCCTGCATTAAAAAAGTTCCTCAGTTACAGAAGTATTATCAGCACAATGTAGTTGAAGCTCCCAGTCTCTCTCTGGAGACACTCACTCAGTCTCACTTCCACCCCCAACACCTTCCGTTGCCCTGACAACCGTGACGTCACAGCCACTTCCTGTCCACACGTTACTTTCACTTTGTGAGCTCGTCGTGTCGCAGCTTCTTCTTCTGTCCATGTGAAGGTTAGTAAGAGACACTTTTCACTGTTTGACTCCTCAATGACTCTTTGTTCATCTTGTTAGTTTAGTTCAGTAGAAAGAGCAGAAAACTCTACTAACAGTCAACTGAGAACCAACATGGAGGAAGAGTTTCCTCCATCTTACTGTCAGTGTGTCACTGTTCAAAGTACTCAGAGTACTCACTGACAGTACTCAGAGTACTCACTGTATGATTTCTGTCTGTCTTTATGAGCTCACCTTATCAATGTAGTTGAAGTATGTAAAGTGAAAGTAGTCAGTGTACAGAATGGCCTCTGTCAGTGTTGTATTATTATATTAGTGGATGATTATTATTGATGCATTAACATGTAATCACTACTTTAATGTTGGAGTTGCTGCAGGTGGAGCCAATATGAACTACTTCAAATACTTTTGGCTGCTTGAATGTAAAATAATGAATTCTATTTTATAAACTGATCCCATGTTTGAAAAGTAAACAGGAAGTAAAGCTGTCAGATAAATGCAGCTCCATGAGGCCACTGACCAATGAGAACAAGCAGCATCTCCTCTGGCCAATAACAAACCACTATTGATCCATGGATTGATTAGTTTGCAATGTGTGACAGTGATGAGAAAAGGCCATCAGTAGTTCCCAGAGTTCACAGTCATGTTTTCTAACTGCTTCTTTAGTCTGAGCAACAGTCCAACAAGACAAAGGGATTCAACTGACACTGAGAGGAAACAGAGAGAAGCAGCCAATCAGTGGAGAAGCAGCTGATAGTTTTACAGGAGAAATGATGTAAATCAGTGGTTCCCAACCTGAGGGTCGAGACCCCCACTAGTGGTCACCAAAGCTTCATGGGGGGTCTGTAGGTAGGGCCTATATCTCAGCATCTGGTTCACTTCTGTGAAGAAAAGTCAATGTAAAGTAAACTGTCTAATAGATCAATGACCAAACATCAGGGACAAGAAAATTGTCCAAAAAGAAGCATATTAAGTATTTATGATTGTTAAAAATGATAAAAGATACATAACAAAAACGGGAAAAAAAGAAAAAGGTTGGGAACCACTGGTGTAAAGGATGAATGAGTGATGATGAGTTCTCAGTGCTGATCAGTGATTGGACTGATGCTTTCAGCTCTGCTCTCAGTGTTTCCTCTACAGATGAAGGTAGAAAGTCTCTGCGAGCTGATGTGGATGTGAATTCAGCAGCAGCTGCCAAGGTAACAGGATTGAGTGTTGAGGAGCTTTTCAAAGTCAGTCAAATAGAAGTGAAACAGCAACATGAAGAGTATTCCTCTAGTCTTCAACCAACCCCACAGACTAAAGAGCATTGTGAATGTCATTTCTTAGATACTGCAGCTCAAAGTGCCAACAACATTTCTACTCTGCCATGGAAACTGTCAGATGAGCGGATTTAGTATTGAGCTGAATGAGCCGTTTCCTCCAATCAGAGCTGTGTGTGTTTGTCATGTGACTGAGAGGAATGATGGGAAATAATGTGTGATCTCTCCCAGCAGGTTGCTGTGTCTGTGTGAAGGTGTGGGCTCTGCTATGAATCAGTGTGAGGACAGAGAGGAGGGAGTCCCTCCCTCTAAAAGCACTCTGTGTGGGGAACATGACACAAGGACCAAAGCTCAGAGGTGAGATGAGGATCTCTAACTGTCCATGACTCTTCTCCATGTCACAAAGGCTTTGATTCTCCATTTGAAACAAAGACATTTATCTGAGCTAAAGTACGTAGTTGTCAGTATTCAAACAGGGCTGGACAATCTGATCTCAAATCAGTATCAGGAGAAACATTCAGCTTCATAATGAGAAATGTAACAGTAACATGTGTTTGAATCAATCAGAGCAGATTTCCTTCCTCATGTTGCTCACTGCTGATGTTTGTCCTGATTCATTCCAGTCTGACCAGTTCCACATTCTGCTCTTCTGGACTGGACTGGGAGCTGATTGCTCGCTGCTTAGATGTTGTAGCTGCTCTCACTTTAATTATATGGAATTCAGACAGTGTGTTGAAGTGTGTGACATCAGTAAATTGTGTTCAGTAACACGTCCATAATGTCAGTAATTGAAGACATTGTTCTTATTGTCCAGCCCTGTATTCAAACATTTCAAATTATACATCATTTCACAAAGTCTTTGATTCAGTGACAATGTTTCTGAATATGTGAGCTTTAATGAATTTCTTTCTATCAGGATCCATCAGAGACCAGACTGTCCTGAACCTGAACCCAGCTGTGTGTCCATGAAGAGTGACCTCTCTATGGATGATCGTATGTACTTCCAAGATGGCTGCCACTCTGTTGATCAAAGGTGAGGATTTCAAACTAAAATAAAATAAATTTGTTTTTATTAGACTCAGTTGTGAAATCTCTATTTTTTAATGTTTTAAAATGTCTTTTAATGGACGGTGATGGTTTGTGTCTGATCAGTTCAATTTACAACAGCCTCAGTTTCACAGTGAACAAATAGTTGCAGCAGTTTATAGAAACTCACTGCTTTGCACCACGTCTGTTCCTCTGTTTATCCTAATTGGACCGATATGGTCACTGCACTCCATCATTTCCCCGCCTATACTGCACACTGCACTGAATACAGCTTTAAAATACACAGTGAAACATGTCTAAATCAGACACTGACTTTATAGAAATCCTAACCAAGAACTCCCTGAGTACAAATACACTGTGTACAGTCGGTGTATTCAGTCACTGGCAGGTTCGGTCTCAGTGTGTTGTGGGTGCAGTGCAGAACTGATTCTGTTTTTCTATCAGGAGGAAAAAACCTGAACCCAGCTGTGTGTCCATAAAGAGTGATCTCTCTATGGAAGATCGTATATACTTCAAAGATGGCTGCCACTCTGTTGATCAAAGGTGAGGATTTCACACTGATGAAGAAAATAAAATCTGTTTTTATCAGACTCTCAGTTGTGAGATCTCCAGTTTTTAAACCTTTACTGACTCAGATGAAGTTCTCTGAGCATCAACACTCTTTCAGCAGCAGCTGCCTCACACTCACACAGTCAAACACATTCAAACACATTCACACTGGGAGCTGCCCAGTACAACCAGTCTGATACAAGCAGACACTGAGCAGCTCCACTGGAGCAGCTGGAGGCTCTAGGTGCCTTGCTCCAGGGCACTTCAGCAGTGTACAGTGAGGGAGGGAGAGCTATATGGAGGGGTTGGTGAGAGCTGTTGGGACTGAACCAAACTGAGCTGTTGATTCTCAGTGGGATCAGCAGGACTAGTAAACCTTTACCACTACAGGGAGTCATCAGATTCACTGTTCACATCCAAATATCACTTCATGGACCTTTACCTTGTGTTTGTCTCTGTGTGGACAGACATAATGTGAGCTCATTCTTCATGATTCCTCCACAGAGTGGACCAGGAGAGCTCAGAGGTTCCCAGTGGTCAGTCTGCCCAGCAGCATCAAACACACCTGGACTCCATATTTATGGTCTGTACATGGACAACAACTACTTTTACATCTATTGTGTTCACAATAATCTCCATGCTGCACTTTTTAGACCAGTGGATTGTCAGTCTGTCCAACATGGATCTGATGTTTGCTTTCATGATTTGACTTTGATTGAGTCATTCATGTAATATTCTGTTCCAGCTGCTGGAGGACAACATTGTCACTTTTGTGAAGAACGAGCTGAAGAAGATCCAGAAGGTTCTGAGTTCAGATTACCCAGAATGCTCAGAGATTCAGAGGGAGGATGAGGAGGTGTTGGACGGTGAGGATGAGGAGCAGAGGAAGAGCAGCAGAGAGGCATTTCTGAAGATCACACTGCACTTCCTGAGGAGAATGAAGCAGGAGGAGCTGGCTGACTGTCTGCAGAGCAGTAAGAGGATTTCTCTAAAGATTTAACTTGCTGGATAAATGAGACATTTACTGATGGACCAAAAGATATTCACATACTCATTCTTTAAAGCCAAAATTAGTCACATCTCACAAATTAAAATGCATAACAATGCCATGATAATTTATTGTATTAAAATTTCAAAAATAATCACATTTTATTTAAATATACAAAGAGAGACCACTCCTATTCTTCTGGCTGATGTGTTGCTAACTTCTGTTCCAGTAGTTTATTAATGTAAATGTTCTCTTTCAAACCTCACTCGGTATCTCACTATGGGAAGCGCCTCCTGGCGTGACCAATCATGGAATCTCCAAAAACACCACATCTGTCCTGAGACAGACCAATCAACTTCAGATGCATGGGCCTGCCCATCCCCCTTTATAAACGTCCCTTGTGCCCCCAAGCGGCATTCTTGCTTTCTTCCCCCCCATCATTTGAGCTCCTCAGCATCTTGACGCCTGGATATTCATTTAACTGCTCTCTGACGCAGCCATCATGGTAGTCACCCAGCGTGGATATCTGGGGTCAGGATATTTCGAGTGGAATTCTTTTGTCAAGAAAGATTTTGGTTATTACCAGTTTAGGTGGATTGTTGTGTGTTGTGGCGGGCTTCCATCCTGAGCTTGGTTTGGCTCAAGCTACCATGTCGAGGTGAGCGCGGTCCATTTTTTTAATGCTAGTGTTAGCCATTAAGGTTGTGGGCTAGCTATGGCAACCACTGCATCCTCTAAGGGGACCACTGGTGGCAGCAAGGGTAAGGACATTGAGTATTCTGAAGTGCCGCTTACGTGTGTCGTCCTCCCCCAAGGCCGACCCTTGCCTTGCCGGCGCGGCGACGAAGCCCAAGCCGGCTACGGCCAGCGCTTGCGGGGGGGATATGGTGGAGGAAGACGACGCAGAATTTTCTCCGCTGTTTAGCCAGCTCCTCGAGTCAGGGGTCAAGCGTGGCGGTGAGGACGACAAGGATGATGTGAATTTAGATCTCCTTGGTAATGAGAATGATGAAGATGATGAAGATGCCATTCTCCCCCCCCTGCTCAGACGTCGCGGCCCAGCAGCTCCGTGGGTGGGGAGGCGCAGCCTTCCTCTTCTCCTCGGGTGGTGGACCTGCACGAGGTGTGTAAGCAAGCGGCAGCCAGGTTGGCTATTGACTGGCCTGCGTCACAGGACGACAAGGTAGAGGAGAGGGATTTTTATGATGCCAAAATCCTGCCTTCTCGTCAGGTCTCCACCAGGCAGTTTATGCCTGCCGTTCTGGTGTGCATGAAGCAGATGAAGTGGTATTGGGACAAGCCATTCCCACACAGAGTTCCCGTCAAGGGTAACTCTGGCCTGGACATCGCTAACAGCAAGGGTCTGGGGCTCGCGGATCCCCGGCAGTGGAGCAGGCGGTGGCCATCTCCATCCCAACCGCTGATCCACTATCGCCTCGGCAGGACCTGCCCTTCTAAAATGGAGAGCTTCACTGCCTCCATGTACCAGAAAGTGTATAAGTCTGCAGCCCAGTCGCTTAAAAATCTGAATGCGGTCACCCTGCATACAGCTTACCAGGCCGAGCTGTTTCAGGTCATGGGGCACCTTTTAGATAAGGGCTCCCCTAGTCCGGCTATTTGGGAGGAGATATGTGTGTGTACAGGGCTGTGGCTGCGTCATGTGCCTGGCTGTGGCGGGTGAGAGATCACTGTGCCTAAATCTCTCCAGCCTGCCGGACCAGGATAAGCAGGTCATAATGGATTCTCTGTTCGACCCGTCACGGGATAAGGGCTTTTTTGGGGAGGTTGCTACCGCCATGCAACAGGCCAGTGACCTGAGGAAGAAGCAAGGGGAGGCCTTCGATCTCTGCCTTCCCCGCAAGACAGCAACTCGCCAACCACTGGTTTTGAGGCTGTGGCAGCGTGAGGGCGTGGTGGGAGTTTCAAGGACCCCAGATTCCAGGCACCCGAGCAGCTAGCGCACCAGCAGGGCTCCCAGGGCCAGGAGCACTGGGAGCCCTGCTGGTGCGTAAAAAGTATTTTGCCACTGCTGCCGCCGCCACTTCAGCCACGATTGTTGTGCAACGGGCCCCTCTGCCCAGCAGGAAGGAAGCGCAGAGGGACACTCAAGCGCCCGGTATACTTGACGCAGACCAACTGTCGCGCGACAATGTGACGTCATGGGAGCGCCATGACTATATATACTTGCGCGTGGTGGTCGCGGCACTAGTTGCAGTCTTCTCCTGAACAGAGGTGTCGCTAGTGAGGAAAGGCTACCGAATTTGCTATTTCTACGCACTAGAAGAAGAAAAAGGGTTTTTTTGTTTTTTGTTTTTTTTCCCAAATCGGTCGCGGAAGTTCTTCCAAATTTTCCAGCATGTGTCCCCCTCTTTTCCAACATTCATGGCGATTTCTCGCCATGAATTCTGGCATCTCCTTTATTGAAGGATCGTACAGATCGTCCATCTTCCTGTTTCTGGTTTGTCGCGCACAGCTGAAAAAAAAAGAGTGGTGCGCGACGTTGCGTGACCGGGCCAAAATCCTGGCGCGCCAGAGAGATCTACGTCATTTTGACGTCACGTTGTCGCGCGACAGCTCGAATGCGTCGAATATACTGGGCGCTTCATGCGCTGTTAGGCCGCCTCTCCGGCTTGGGTTTCAGTGTCAATCACTCGAAGAGCGTATTTCCAACACAGAATACGGAACAGTTGTCATGACGAAAACAGTGACAACAGACACTTCACTGACTGGATGGGAATCAGTGATTGTATGACGGGAAGTTGCGCGTGTTTAAGAGATGGTGTGAGGCTACAGCCATCATTTCATTTCAGTGTTCTGTTTCAGAGGTGTTATGCTTCCTGCAGGATTTACTAGACAAAGGTAAAGCATTCTCCACCATTAAGGTCTATTTGGCTGCAATGTCAGCCTGCCATGTGGGTTTTGGGAATGCAGCAATTGGACAGCATTCTCTGGTAAGGAGGTTTATGAAGGGAGCTCAACGCTTAAGGCCAGCTTGTAAACTTTTAGTTCCTTAATGGGACTTGCCAACTGTTTTGGAGACACTCTCAGGGCTGCCTTTCGAGCCATTGGAGTCAGCTGACTTAAAGCTGCTTTATGTGCACACATCTTGTCTGCAATTTTCCCTTGACTATGGGAAAGTGATGTTGTGCCTTTTGTAGGGGAGAGTGAGAGGCGGCTTAATTCATTTTGTCCTGTCAGAGCCTTGCACATCTATGTGGACATGACTAAGGGTTTTAGGAAAAGTAACCAGCTTTTTGTATCTTGGGCCCCTCCTCACGAGGAAAGGCTTTGACTTATCAGCGCCTGTCACACTGGGTGGTGGAGGCTATAGTCCTGGCTTATGAGAGTCGTGGACTGCAGCCCCTGGAGAGCCTGCGGGCTTATTCCACAAGAGGGATGGCCACCTCATAGGCCCTGTTCAGGGGCATTGCGGTGGGTGACATTTGTGCTACTGCTAGTTTGGTTTCCCCACATACATTTATTCGGTTTCACCGGCTAGATGTAGCAGTGCCTTCGCTGGTGCACTCAGTCCTTAGTGTGCGTTCCTGTTTATTTTTAAAATTATTATTATTGTTTATTGCTCATGGGGAGGGCCTGTGGTGGTGTTGTGGGCTTCAGAGCATGCAATTTGGGAGTGGGCCCCACCTCCCATAGTGAGATACAGAGTGAGGCTTGAAAGAAAACTTTCGGTTACCAGGGTATCCCTGGTTCTCTAAAAACCGAGTGAGGTATCCCACAACACTGTCCTACTTGCATGGATAGGGTACATGGAAAAAATACGCTTAAGAGTGCTTCTTGGGGGCACCAGGGGTGCCCGTGCATCTGAAGATGATTGGTCTGTCTCAGGATGTGGTGGAGTTTCCATGATTGGTCACGCCAGGAGGTGCTTCCCATAGTGAGATACCTCACTCAGTTTTCAGAGAACCGGGGTTACCCTGGTAACCAAAAGTTATGGCAATTTGTGATGTATTTTTTTTAAAGGAAGGTTTCACACCACCACCTGCCTGCACAAGGGTTCACAGAAAACTTCTTTTCTATAGTGGCTGCCGCCAGGTGTGTGCCACCAGCAGTTTAACACAGTGAAAATCTGTGCACTTGGATGTGGGCAACAACCACTTCCCCTCATTGAAATGACTGGTGGCAATAAGTTAGCCCCATAACTTTTGGTCTCAGGGAGAAACAAAATAGATTTTTTTTTCTGGGCTGAAATTTTTTTTTTTTTTAAGAAATTAAATTGTATATTTTGTTTATAATCACTTAATGATCATATTTTTTCTTTGCTGATTGTGTGTTGAGGCATTGGTGAACTTAAATTAAAACAGAACCATTACGGCTTACAGGGGAGGGACTGCAGAGGTCAATGTTGAACATGAGGTCTGACAGATTGAAACCAGGAAACCAGACAGACCAGGAATAACATTCAGGAAGACATCTTTAAACCCTACCCGGAAGAGATGAACCATCAGAACAGTGATGAAAAAGTGATGGAAAACAGTCTTAAAAAAGTTCACTTGGACTGGGATGAAGACAAAGCCAACCAGGACATACACTTCACATTTCCATACTTTCAGAGAGCTGAATGTGCTGAAAGAGAAAAAGTACATCTTGCTTTTCATCACATCTTTATAAAAAAGAAGCAGGAATCCATTTGAAGAGTTCCAGGTTGTGTTCCTCTGCAGATCGGATGTGCCACATCCCAGTATTCTGCTGGATTCACTGCTACAGTTCCTGTGTGTTGGCATGTGTGACAGAGGTAGGGGGTACCAAAAAGGGGGGGATGAAGACCAGGCCAGATGGACATCTCCCACATCAGACATCAGAGCCTCCAATCATGGCCACACCAGTATGTGGAGAGCTGCTACTTCTGGTGGATGTGTTGAAGACCAGAGAGGGAGGAGAGCCCCAAGACCCTGACTGAGATGTACATCCACTTCCTGGTAGTTCAGTTCAAACTGAAGAACATCAAGTATGATGGAGGAGCTGAGACAGATCCACACTGGAGTCCAGAGAGCAGGAAGATGATTGAGTCTCTGGGAAAACTGGCTTTTGAGCAGCTGCAGAAAGGCAACCTGATCTTCTATGAATCCGACCTGACAGAGTGTGACATCGAAATCAGAGCAGCCTCAGTGTACTCAGGAGTGTTCACACAGATCTTTAAAGAGGAGAGAGGACTGTACCAGGACAAAGTCTTCTGCTTCATCCATCTGAGTGTTCAGGAGTTTCTGGCTGCTCTTCATGTCCATCTGACATTCATCAACTCTGGAGTCAATCTGCTGGCAGAAAAACAAACAACACCCAGGTTGTCTAAAGTCTTCAAAGACAAACCTAAACTAAAATATCTCCACCAGAGTGCAGTGGAAAAGGCCTTAGAGAGTCAACAAGGACACCTGGATTTGTTTCTCCGCTTCCTCCTGGGTCTTTCACTGCCGACCAATCAGAATCTCCTACAAGGTCTGCTGACACCAACAGAAAGGATCTCAGAGACCAATCAGGAAACAGTCCAGTACATCAAGAAAAAGATTGAAGAGACGCCCTCTGCAGAGAGAAGCATCAATCTGTTCCACTGTCTGAATGAACTGAATGATCGTTCTCTAGTGGAGGAGATCCAACAGTACCTGAGTTCAGGAAGTCTCTCCACTGATAAACTGTCTCCTGCTCAGTGGTCAGCTCTGGGCTTCATCTTACTGTCATCAGAAAAAGATCTGGACGTGTTTGACCTGAAGAAATACTCTGCTTCAGAGGAGGCTCTTCTGAGGCTGCTGCCAGTGGTCAAAGCCTCCAACAAAGCTCTGTAAGTACAGACCGAGTTGGATTTCTGTATTATCACTTAAATATTCTGCTATCTTTTCGACTTAGAGAGATTATAAAGACATTACATATCACTAACAGTGGGAACTCCTCACTAGCTGATATAATTTTTACAGAACTAATTTATAGTGTTATTGGTTTTGGCAGAGTGATAAAGTGCTGGTCACGAATGTTATTTTTCTTATTGTTTATCATTGTCTCTACAGACTGAGTGGCTGTAACCTCTCAGAGAGAAGCTGTGAAGCTCTTTCTTCAGTTCTCAGCTCCCAGTCCTCTAGTCTGAGAGAGCTGGACCTGAGTAACAACAACCTGCAGGATTCAGGACTGAAGCTGCTTTCTGCTGGACTGAGTCCACACTGTAAACTGGAAACTCTCAGGTAAGTATTCGTCAACCTGTTCAACTGATAACCACTTTAAACCTGAATTATGTTGATGGATACAATTGTAATCTTCCTAACATTGTCTCAAAACATTGTTTTGTTTATTTACTTATTTCCTTGAACATGTTTATTATGTAATGTGTTGTTTTGTGTGTTTGCAGACTGTCAGGCTGTCTGATCACAGAGGAAGGTTATGCATCTCTGGTCTCAGCTCTGAACTCCAACCCCTCCCATCTAAGAGAGCTGGACCTGAGTTTCAATCATCCAGGAGACTCAGCAACAAAGCTGTCTGCTGGACTGGAGGATCCACACTGGAGACTGGACACTCTCAGGTATGAGGTGGAGCAATACAGTAGTAGTAGTAGTAGTAGTAGTAGTAGTAGTCAGGTGACAGAGGAAAGGTGATGAAATTTCTGTTTTTCTTGACCGATATCTTGTTTCGACATTGGAAAATAGGACAGTGGTTTATCCTGATAGGTTGGTGAGCATCATGGCGGGTTGATATTTGTCAGCGTTGTCACGCTGCAGGTTTATAGGCTCATATCATAAATAGTTTGGGATATTTTGATGGATGTCATCTACCATCAGTGTGTGTTACCTTTTAGTCCAGAAAAACTAAAGACGTCACCTAAACTACAATTTAGTTCAGTTCAGTTCAGTTTTATTTGTATGTCACCAATTCATGACAGAAGTTATCTCAGTTTTCAAATAGAGCAGGTCTAGACCGAACTCCTTATAACATGATTTACAGAGACCCAACAGTACCACCATGAGCAAGACCTTGGAGACAGCGGCAAAGAAAAACGTCCTTTTCCGCCATGACAGACAGACAGACAGACAGACAGACAGACAGACAGACAGACAGACAGAGAGTAAGAATATCATGGTCAATGGTGTCAAATGCAGCACTAAGATCTAATAATACAAGTACAGAGACAAGTCCATTGTCAGAAGCAATCAAAAGGTCATTATTAACTTTAACCAGAGCTGTCTCTGTGCTGTGATGAACTCTAAATCCTGACTGAAAATCCTCAAATAAACTATTGTTATGTAGAAAGTCACACAACTGTTTGGCGACTACTTTCTCCAGAATATTAGAGAGGAAGGGGAGGTTAGAAATCGGTCTATAGTTGGCTAAAACCCCTGGGTGAAGAGTGGACTTTTTAAGAAGGGGTAATTACAGCTACTTTAAAGGACTGTGGTACATATCCTGATAATAAAGAAACAGACAGGTTGATGGCTTCAATGTAGAAATTATTGAAGTTAATTGTTGAAGATCGATAGCAGAAAAACATTCTAAATATATATATGATTTTACATTTGTTAAAGTTCCTGAACTTGGAGAGCCCAGAATAGCTGTTGAGGGCATTTGGTTATTAATTATGTCTCTAATAGTATTTTTATAAAAGAAGCTCATAAAGTCATTGCTACTTGAGGTTATGGGGATACGAATAAAAGTAATAATACTGAATAAAAGGCTCCTCTGGTATTACGGAGGGCCTTTCTATAGGTTTTAAGATCATCATGCCAAATTGAGCGATATTCTAATAATTTGGAAGAGCACCATTTCCTTTTGGATTTCCGCACTTTTTGCTTTAATTGGCGGGTTTGGTGGTTGTACCACGGTGCTAGTCTCCTATGTTTTAATATTTTCCTCTTTATAGGAGAGATAAAATCTAATGTTGTAAGTAGTGAGCCTGCAGCAAGTATACAACACAAGGTAAAATGTAAAATGTACAGTTTTGAAAATGTGTAAGAAAGAAGAAAGTGCAGAAATGATTGTCCGTGTTTGAGGTCAGATTACAGAGAGGGGGTGTCTGACTCTCTGGGGGAGGCGTTATAGAGTTTGATGACCACAGGCATTTAACAAGATTATCAATTTGGGAGGGACTAAAGTTATTATAGGACTCTGTTATATTCAGACATTGAATTAAACACTGATGGAATCTCCTCCTTAAATTTAGCTACAGCACTGTCAGATAGACATCTGCTGTAGGAGATTTTGCCTAATGGTTTATAATCTAATAATATGAATTCAAAAGTTATTAAATAATGGTCAGATAGGAAAGGATTTTGTGGGAAGACTATTAAATGTTCAATATTAATGCCATATGATAAAACAAGGTCAAGAGTGTGATTAAAACAATGAGTTGGTTTATTTACACTCTGACAGAAGCCAATTGAGTCTATTAATGATATAAATGCGTTACTAAGACTGTCATTGTTAACATCCACATGAATATTAAAATCACCTACAATAATTACTTTATCTGATTTAAGGACTAAACTTGATAAAAACTCTGAGAATTCAGATATAAAATCAGAGTACGGTCCAGGAGCGCGGTACACTATAACAAATAGAACTGGCTGCAGTGTTTTCCAGTTTGGGTGAGAAAGACTAAGAACAAGGCTTTCAAATGAATTATAATTTAGTTTAGGTTTAGAGTCTATTAAAACGCTTGAATTATAGATGGCTGCTACTCCACCTCCTCGGCCGGAGAAACACAGATTCTTCGATATTTGTCAGGACTTTGTTTCAAACAAAGATATACTTTCAACATTTACATTTACATTAGACACAACTACTTTATAAACTGAAACCCAAGTGGACAAAGAAATCTGTTGATGCAGGTTTAATCATTTCATTTACTGACTGACTGGTAGAGGAAACTGAGTCTGAACTTTATGATGATCATCAATATAATACTGATAATAATAATATATCATCAGTAAGTGAAAATAATGAGCTGTAGCCATCGGCCAATCAGAAGAAGCTCCAGTGAACTGAAAGACTATCAGCTGATTAATAATAAGTGCTCCATGTGAAGATGTAAGTCCATTTGTAGAGAATAAGCTCTGTGTATGAGAGCGATGTAATGTCCATGTTTCCATGCTGCTCTGACCCCCCTCCTCCTTTCAGGGTGGAGCCTGCTGGAGTCCGATGGTTGAGACCAGGTCTGAGGAAGTGTAAGTGTGAAAACAAAGCAGCACACATTCAACCATCTTCACACTGTGACATCACTCATTCACAGCTCTGATGTCATCATCAAAGTGTCAATCAATGATCAGATGATAGATCAATAACTGCAGCTGTATTGTGTCTTGTTCTCTCCATCAGATTCCTGTGAACTCCCAGTCGACACAAACACAGTACACAGAAAGATCAAACTGTCTGACAACAACAGGAAGATGACATATGTGAGAGATGATCAGTCATATCCTGATCATCCAGACAGATTTCACTGCTGGTATCAGCTGCTGTGTAGAAATGGTCTGACTGGTCGCTGTTACTGGGAGGTCGAGTGGAGAGGAACAGTTGATATATCAGTGAGTTACAGAGGAATCAGCAGGAGAGGAGACAGTGAAGACTGTGTGTTTGGAAGGAATGATCAGTCCTGGAGTCTGCAGTGTTCTTATGGTGGTTACTCTGTCTGTCACAATAAGAGAAAAACACCCGTCTCCTCCTCCTCCCCCTCCTCCTCCTCCTCCTATGTCTATAACAGAGTAGCAGTGTATGTGGACTGTCCTGCTGGCACTCTGTCCTTCTACACAGTCTCCTCTGACACACTGATCCACCTCCACACCTTCAACACCACATTCACTGAACCTCTTTATCCTGGATTCAGTTGCTGGTCGTATTACTCCTCAGTGTCTCTGTGTCCTCTGTAGGAGGGAGAGACAAACTTCTCACTGCTGACCAGATGGTTCAGTCTGTACAGGATCACACACAGCTGATGTTAGTTAGTACCAACCTGATGTGTTTACTGTAATAGAGGAGGAAGAGGAGGCTGAAGGAAGAGAAGAGCAAAGGATGCTGGGATGAAGGGATCATGTGTGAGGGTAATGTGCAGCCTGCAGACGTAGAGATGAAAGAAATGATAGAAAGAATTGATCTTCTTCTATAACTCTGAGAAAAATGAGCATTTTTAGGATAAAATGTGGCTGCTTGTTTTTCACATCTTCTTCTTTTTGAAAGCACAGTTAGAGGGAAAGTGTTTTTATGACTCAAATATCAAAGTGTGAACAAATATTTTTTCTGTTAAGAAAATGTGTTTAAATGTCAAACAAGAGTCTTTCAGGATCAAATTCAGCATCTGTGTAAAAATAGTTCCAAGGTGTAAAGAGTGGCTTTGATTTGAACAAACTAAATTCATCATCTTTGGTCATCGTGGAACAAATGTACAAACTTTGATAAGTCAGGTTGAAATCAAAAGAAATCAAAGTTTTGGGATGATTCTAGATAATAAATGATGCTGGAAACCACATTTTAATGATGTCAAAGCAAAACTGTCCAAATGGATCCATCACTGTATAAAATGAAGGATTAGTTAAATCCAGCTTCATTCTCCACTTTGTATTGTTCACTTCTACTTCCATACATCACTGACTGTGTGCTCGTTTGGGGAAACTCATATAAAACAAACACTAATCAGATTTTTACATTTGAACAGAGAGACATAATTAGTGTAAACCAAACTACTGATCAAGAACCAACTCAGCTGTTTGTTCAATGAAAGGCTGTAAGATTCAGAGAGTTGGTGGATTTTCAACCAGCACAGATCAGGTATAAAGTCAGAAACTAATGACGAGCTGAAAGAGTCTAAAAGTTGTTTGAAATGAGAGAAAGTCAAAATGATTCGAGAGGAATCTGCAGCTTTAAGGACTGATGTCAGAAATCCCTTGTGTTAAAGAGGTGAACTTGTGGAGCAGCTGTAGTGAGGAAATCAATCATTCCATAAAGAATCATTATATCAACAAATATAAAAGTGATCAAACTGACAGGTTGACATTAATTCAATTCTATTCTATTTGTATAGCGCCAATTCATTATGACAACTCCCTCTTTCATGGCGAGTTGTTGAAATTCCACGCCACACCACGTGTACGCTGTTTGACAGAATGTCGTAAATAGCACATCTATAATCGGGAATGTGTTCAGATGGCTGTGTCCAAATCTGAAGTCGATCCGATCAATTCCCTAGGAGGAGTTGAGGGAGACAGCTCTACATTGTCACAGGTTTCAGACACTGTGCAAAAGACTGGAAATTCAGCGCCACGGACACGCCGTTTGAAGCACAGTAAATATTTGATTAACTTTTGATCACCAATGTGTTTAGATTGCAGTGATCGAATTTGAAGTCAATCCGATAAAATCTGTAGGAGGAGTTAGTTAAAATAGAAGCCCTTAAATGCCGGAAATGGCATCACAGTTTGACATTCGATTCAACCTGGCCAACTTTGATGGCACGCCACGGACACGCCCTTCAACGCACAGTTGCAAATAGCACAGCGTTTAATCAGCAACATTTTTTAAGTGTACTGTCCAATTTTTAAGTAGATCCGATAAGTCCCTATATGAGGAGTTTGTTCAAATAAATAAAATTCAAGTGAAAATGAAAATCAAAATGGCTGACTTCCTGTGGGGTTTGGGGTATGGGTCCAAGAGGTTTTTCTGTACGTCTTAGTGCGTTACACGTGCCTACCGAGTTTCATACATATCGGTGAAACGTGGCACCAGGGCTGCTTTGTTGAAATCCTGTAGGGGGCGCTACAAACACACAAACACGATTTTTGGTATGTGAGCTACAGGCACTACTCTACACATATAAACTTCTTCATTTTAAAGAGCGCCACCTTGTGGCGATGACCTGAAATTGTACACAGTGCCTAAGGAAGACATGGGGAACTATGGACCCAAGGTTGGTGTCAATCGGACAAACCAATGTGGAGAAATGCTCCACTTCCTGTTTTGACCAAAATCTACAGGAAGTGCTAATTTTTTAACGTGCTTATTTTTTGAAATATCAAAATACTCTAAATTACTTTGCCAGGATGGTCTCCAGATGCTACGTGACAAGTTTTGTGCGGATCGGACAAAAGCTCATAGGAGGAACACGAAAACGTTGTTTATGGACATTTCACGCTAGCGGAAAAAAATTCCTGTCGGAAGTGGGCGGGGCCTATATGGGGAGATGGAGCTCCATTCACCGAACGCGTGGATATAAGGTTTAACTGTGAGACAAACGATGCAGGAGTTATTAGCCTAAACCTTCTTAATAGTAGCGCCACCTAGTGGCCGACACGAAAGCGACGCATAGAATATATAAGTTACACCAGGCCGGACCACTTTGCCAAATAAAATTGCACTTTCATATTTGTTCGGGGGGGAATTAGCAGTTGAAAAGGCCTATAAATAATAATAACTGCAGCAATTACAATAGGGTCCCTATTGTAATTGCTGCAGTTATTATTATTATATTATTATTATTATTTAGCAATTACAATAGGGACCTCCAGCGGTCGATGGCTCGGTGCCTGATAAATAAAAATAAATGTTGTTGTTAAAAACAAACACAAAAAAAACAAAGATTAAAATGTATTTCCAAAGTAAAGGGCAGATTAGAGACAGGCTGAAGGTCGTTATGGACTCCAGAAGATGGCAGTAGATATCAAACAACGTGTCTGACGAACATCTAAAACCTCCGGGAAGAAGAACTCGTCTACCCATAATTCATTGCCGCTTTCCGGTTCCAACCATTCGAGACCTAAGATGGCGGACCGGCGGCGAAGGAGGAGGCGCGCGTCGCAGGACAGCGAGGACGACGACGAGTCCGGTTCGGGTTCGGACAGCGGGAGGTCGGGGTCACCGGCGACCAAGAGCCGAGGGAGAGAGCCCGACCCGCCGGAGGCCACAGCGGCCCGGGTCGAGCCGAAGATCGCCGCGGAGTCCGAGTGTGTGAGTATCTCCGGACGTTAGCTCCCCGAGCGGCGGCAGACAGCGCTTCCATTAGAACTTCTCCCCGCGGCAGACTCCTTTCTTCCTAATGTAACCGCGGGAAAACGAGCCGCGAATAAACCGACAGCCGTTTGACTCTGAACACCTTCACACACCTGCAGCAGGCGGAAGGGAACTTAAAGTCAGCTGTCTGTGCGTTAGCGACGCCGCTTCTGTCCAACCTACAGAGTTTTTACATTATATACGTTATATATTTATATTTGTTATATTAAAGTAACCGTTTATAACGGCAAAAGTCCACGTAGTTAACTTTATTATTGTTTTGTTCTCCTTTGTGGAACCGAGACGAAAAGGCGGCAGTTGGAACACATTTACAGGGGAAACACATTTAACCGTAACACCGGCTCGGTACGTTACACCGCTGGAGGTTGTAACGGAGGTAGAGGCGGTTCGCTCCGGGTACCCGGGAAGCTAGTGCCGCCCCCCCCCCGCTCCGGTGTGTACGTGCTGTTGGCCGACTGTTACTGACAGTGAGTTTCTCTTTAGCACCCGGCTAGGCCAATGCTAATGCTACCGCTCCATCGTGAGAGTCCGCCACGTCCTGCATACGTCACATGCTGCGTGGAAACGTCAGCCGCGTTGCTTTCATCTTTTTATCCGAGGCGCGTTACTAAGCAACCAAAACAGGGTTCCCACGCATCCTGGAAAACCTGGAAAACCTGGAGATTTAGAGACCAGTGATTGAAACACATGGAAGTTGTTTAAAATGACCAAATATACTGGAAATAATCCATATAATGAAATGTTTATGGTATTTTATCCCTTCAGGTCCATATTTAGTGTGAAAGCCAACAGTGTGTCGCTGCGCTGTGCTTTCTAACCTCGTAATGGACCTGAAACACCTATCGTTATAAAAGAACGACTGGAGTCGACGCCAGGTCTACCTGGAAACTGTACGACGGTTTGTAAACAAGAGTCCTGCAAAGAAACTGGAAAAGTGTTGTCTCCATGACGATGTAAGCCTCACTCACAAACTTAATTTAAGTCATTTAAAAGTCAAAACAAACCATAAATCCCTCACACACAGGCTGAATGAGCTAACCGTAGCTAGCACAGGTATTACTAGGTAATGTAAACACCGCGTACATCGTCAGGCTCATTCGGTCCACAGCAGTACTCCCCGCTGGCAGTGTTTAACACAGCTAATAGCAGCTAGTACAGTTAGTATCTGCAGCAGTCAGAGTCTTCCTGTGTTACAAGATTAAAGGTCCGTGTTGAAACAATCCTCTGATACTTTGGTCCCGGTGGCGAGGAGCAGCTCCTGAACGCAGTTTAACGATGGTTCGGTTTCTCTGAGACTGAAAATGAGAAGCTGTTTTTATTCAGTTTTCAAGGTTCAGCAGGGACAGCAACCCGTTTTAAATCCAGGATATGAACTCAGAGTCATTCAGGAGGCAGCTCCCTGTGTGACTGTATGACTGTTGGCTGGAGATTAACACTGTGAAGGTTAGCTGCTGACTTCTTTCTATCTCTCTTTGCAGGAGAGTGAAGATGGAGTTGGAGAAGGTAAGACAGTTATTCAGTTACCAGGAACATAGAAATTAAAGATTAAGTTATTATTTACTTTAAATATAAAATGCAGATGCTGATGTCTATCATATAACATTAGTTCTCTTTAGGACTGATTAGCTGTTGTAGAATCCTTGTGAAGCCTGTTGTTGTTGTTTTCTGACACTCTCTCTGCCCTGTTCTCTCTAGCGGTCCTCTCCGACTACGACAGCGCCGATCCAGAGGAAAACGGCTCCCACTCGGAGGTAAAACACACCGACTGTATGAAACATCAGAACCACATCAGTGCTGTAGAGTCTGGACCTCCTACAGTTCCAGTAACGTCGGGTATTCGCTGTACGATTTGAGCCCGTTTCTAACACTACTTTTGAGCCGCACAACATTTTTTAGAGTTGGACTGAATTTCAGCTTCATTGGGCTCTTAGTGTACAGGGCGGAGCGGCAACCAATCAGCTGCTCCTGCGTGGACGTTGGGATGAATCTCTTAGAAACAGAGAGAACTTGGAAAATTAGACAGAAATGAAGTTTTCTTGTCATAGAAACACCTGGAAATTAAATAACATGACCAGATATCCTCTCTCTAACCAGATATCCTCGCTCTAATCAGCGTACCTTGTTAGGCGAACGCCGGTGATCAGTTCTACACTGGCCTGGCTTGATGAAACCTTTTACTGCCAGCAGACATACCTCTACCTGTCTATGTCCAGATTTTACTGTAGTGAAGGAAACAGAAATCCTAATTTAGAATTTATGTCAAAGCCAGTCAGGATGAGCAGTGTAGCTGTTAGTGTACAATAAAACCAGAGGGAGCGGTGTGATAACTTGTTGTTTTAGCAGATCTTAAAGTGAAATCAGTCATCCTGAGGAAGACTCCATCACAAGCTGTGTTTCTACAGCCAATAAAAACACACTGAGCCCCCGGAGAGCTGCACAGACGTCTGTGTTTCAATTCCTTGTCAGAGTTCGATTCACCGACATTGATCACACAAAGGCGAGAGGTGGTCCCACACAGATTGTGAACAGACCTCATTAGACCTCCTCGGTCGGTGTGATAGGATGTGTATCAGTCTCCGCTGGGTGATTGTTTCTGTTAGTTAAACTGTGTATTCCTGTGTTCCCAAAGGGAGTGGAGGAGGAAGAGGAGGCAGAGCATTTCAGCGATGAAGAAGCTCCAGCAGCAGCCAGCGTTCCCAAACCCCCTGCTGCCGACGGCCCGATAAAGGTAGAGGAGGAGGTGGAGGCAGTGGGTGCAGAGGAGGAGGAGGAGGAGGCGGTGGTGGTGGTGGAGGCGGCGGCGGCGGTGGCGGCTGAAGAAGTAGAAGAGGAAGAAGAAGAGGAGGAGGAGGAGGCGGCAGAGGGAACAGAACAGATTAAAGAGGAGAGCAAGGCAGAGGAGAAGGAGAACCTGGCTGGAGAGAGACAGAGCGGTGACGGACAGGTGAGACGGGCTGTACCAACCTGTGACCTCATAACTTCCTGTAAATCTTATAAACACATTCAGCTGTCTATCGCTGATGTAAACACTCACCACAGTGCCAAATCTGGATTAATCCGCTGCTGAAAGTAGTCCCCGACAAATCATCCTGTTTAAGTGACGTTTCTTCTGCCTCCATGTTATATTTTAGGGTTTTCTGTCCGTCTGTCCCATTGCTGCAAATCCTGTTAAATAAACATGATTGTTTGGTACAGAGCCCAACACATTTCATACGATTTTAATATGTCCTTCAATGAAAGTTATTTTGTTTTGTGAAATGAATCACTGAAACGTGAATCATACCACACATATACACAATATTTACCATATTGTGCAGCCCTAATTCTGTGAACTGATGAACTGGTCACTTCGTCTGTTGGTTAATATGAAAGGAAACTGTTCTACAGTCGTCTCTATAAGAGCTTCATTCTCACACACACTTGCAGGAGTCAACAGATGATCCTGAGACAAAGGTCGGAGTGAAACCTGGTCAGAAGCTCGACGATGACGAGGACAGAAAGAACCCGGCCTACATCCCGAGGAAGGGTCTGTTCTTCGAGCATGACGTCCGAGGACACGCTCAGGAGGAGGAGAGGTACCGGTCCTTCGCTCTCTGTGGTAGCAGTGTTTTTATTTCATCCTTGAGTTAATGTGGAACGTAACTTTAACTGCATCGTGTCTTCCTGTGTGCGTCTCCTCAGACCCAAAGGCCGAAACAGGAAGTTGTGGAAGGACGAGGGTCGCTGGGAGCACGATAAGTTCCGGGAGGAGGAGCAGGCGCCAAAGAGCCGCGAGGAGCTCATCGCCATCTACGGCTATGACATCCGAAACGGCGGCAGCTCCGGAGAGCGATCCTACAGGCAGCGCCGGCCCAGGTGAGCGCCGCCTCAACCAGGAAGTGCAGAAAGAGAGTTTAATCCGGATGTTTACAGCAGATTGTTTAGTGTGAACATCAATGTAAAGATTAATGATCCTTCAAAGTCGTTATTATAACTACTACTAGCATTTAACAGGCAGCAGGCAAATTTAAATAAAAAAAGGCCCCTGATGGCCGTTGGAGAGACTGCAGCTTGAGTTTACCTGTCTGTCTCCCTGCAGACAGAGTACGTCTCCCAGCCGAGACAAACGATGGAGAGACGGAGGCGGAGAGCGACCGGTCCGATCCTGGCACAGCGGAGGAGGAGGAGGAGGAGGAGGACTGCACCGAGGAGCTCCTCCACCTTCATCCATCCACCCCTCTTCTACATCCCCCTCCCCTCTCCCTCTCTCCTCCGCTCAGCGTAGTGGCAACCCCTCCAGACCGCCTCCCTCCCGCAACAGACCATCCCACCACAACCAGATGCACCTCCCGCCTCAGTCCCAGTACAGGAATAATGAATCAAACGCACCCCAGATGCACCACAGAGAACGACAGGGTCCTAAAGCTCAGTCTGATCCCACAGACAGAGACAGGGGTGGGGTCAGCAGGGGAGGAAGAGGTGGAGGTGGCGGGGGAAGGGGTGGTCCCTCTGTGGTCATCGAGGATATCACAGTCAGCCAAGGAGGCGTTAGGGAACAGGATGCGGTGATGACGGCGCCATCGTCACAACCGGGTGGGTACAAGTCTGCGTCGCCAAGACGACAGCAGCAGGAGCAGCGAGGGAGCAGCGACAGATCTGCGTCAGGATTGGCCGCCCTCTCGTCCACCTCTGACCCCTCCCCGCAGTCGTCAGCTGCAGGGACCAATCAGGACGCCTCGCCTCCCACCGAGCGGCCGGTGGAGCGTAAGTCTTACTCCCTGGCCCGCAGGACTCGCTCTCGGCCCGCAGACCTGGGCAGCAAACAGCCGTCCATGGAGGAGTCCGCAGCCGGGGGAAACGCCTCCTCCCCCAGCAGCGTGGGAGAGAAGAGCTGGGCGGGAGCAGGCGACGGGCCGAGTCAGGCCGGAGGGGCAGGGGCAGGAGGAGGTGGAGGTGGAGGAGGAGGAGGAGGAGGAGGAGGGCTGACAGAGCTGGACCAGGACGTGGCTCGACTCAGTCTGGTGTCAGAACAGAGCTGGAGCCAGAGCCCGACGTCATACATGCGCTCTGAGATCAGAGGTGAGTGTTATAACTGTACTGAACCCTCCACTACCAGGACAGAGGACAGAAGAGGAAACTCATTGAAGGGTTTTCTTGGCCCCACAAAATTTGTACAATGTGTTAAGAAATGATCATATTGTAAAAACTGCAACATAATAAAACCTGTTACTGTTAAAGTATGTTAGTCAGGTTAGGAACCCAGTACAAACTGATCCATATCTGTGTCCACAGGCCTCCCCAACCCCATGCACATCCCCGGCGGCCCGCCTCAGTTCTCCAGCATTGAGGAGCTGGGCGTCGGCTCCAATCGGGCCAAACGCTACTCCTCCCAACGACAGAGAGCCGTACCTGAGCCGGCACCGGCCATGCATCTGGGAGTGATGGAGGGACACTACTACGAACCCAGTAAGACCAAGACCAACACCAGTAACGGATAACACTGAATATCAGTTTCTGTCTCTAAATGATCCAGAATCCTCGTGTGTGTGTGTGTGTGTGTTGCGTGCAGAAACATGTTTAGATAAAAAGTATGAAACGGAGACGGGTAAGTTTCAGTCAGCGTAGTACTTCCTCCTGCTCACCAGCAGAGGTCAGTAAAGTTCATCACTGTTACATAAACGTGTGTTTGTTTATCGGTGCTGGTTTGGACCAGTCGGTGTCGGTGTGGAGTTTATCTGCGTCAGTTTTAAAGCTCATCGTATATTTTTACATCACAGCTGTCAGATAATAACAGACATTAACTTTGATTAACGTCCGTCTGTCTCTCTCTCAGTGTCATACCAGGGACCAATCTATGCCCACGGGGAAGGCCCCGCCCCCATCCCGCCGCAAGGCATGCTGGTCCAGCCTGAGATGCACATCCCCCATCCAGGTCAGTGGAGTCTGGTTTCCTCTCTCATGTTTAAGTTTTATGTTCTCTGTACGAGGTACTCATCGCTCTTCCTCCTCCTCAGGTCTCCACCCCCATCAGTCAGGTGGTCCGATCGCCAACCCCGCAATCTACGGAGGCCCGCCTGTTTCTCTGTCGCCAGGGCAACCACAGCAGCTGCTCCCACCGCCTTTCTACCCTCCGCCTGGAGTGATGACCTTCCCCTACCCCGCCATGTACCCGACTCCACAGGTACGCTTCAGGTTCAGACAGCTGACGTTGAGGTGTCACAACTTTGAACTGTACCAAAGAAAAGTATAATGATATAGTTTAATAACTTAATAATAATCTGCTATAGTTTATACATTATTTGTTATTCTTTAAGTCATTGGTTGAGTTTGTTGTGTATTTCTGTTTGTGGTTGGGATACAGCAATGGAAATAATAAACAATCTATTGACATATTTACAAGCCTGTCGTCTCCGGACGTCAGTCAGTCGCTGGTGTTTTACTAATCTGTACTAATGGCTGCTGTGAAAAAGGACTCCGTTATGTGCCACTAATGATCAATCAAATATACTGAATTATAAATGTACTTTATTGTGTTTTAATTTATTAGTTTTCAGAAACAGAAATCACAGAATTAAAATCAGTTTAAAGTCCTTTAAATGTGTTTGAACCTCCTCTGTTGGTTAATAAAGTCTGGTGGGTTTTGAATGTGTGTTTCAGGGTCAGGCCCAGGTGACCTACGGAGGCGTGACGTACTACGACACGATGCAGCAGCAGGCTCAGCCCAAGCCTTCGCCCCCCCGTCGCACGTCCCAGCCCGTCACCGTTAAGCCCCCCCCTCCGGAGGTGCACTTCGCCTCAGAGTGACCCCGCCCCTCACCCCTCCCTGCCACCAAGTCTCAGCCTCACTCTGATCTGGAAACTACAGGTGAGCACGCCGTGATGTGTTTGTCCTGGGTGATACTGTGGGGACGGTCAGTGTGCACAGTACGTGGCCGTCCGCCGTTCAGTTTCCTGTGAGGTAAAGCTGGGAATATAATGTAAATATATCTTATAATATAATCCAAACTGAATGTAACACACTGACCGTCAGAGAACCCAAACTCTCCCTTTAATCAGACGTCTGATTGGCCTCAGCAGAGAGAATAAAGGTTTTTGTCTGTTTGTAGGAGCGGGATGGGAGGGTCAGTGAGGAGCTGTGGTCCCCAACAGCAACCACCAACCTTATCCATGGACGGACGGACGGGTGGACGGAGGTGAAGATGGACTCTGTAGGTGACCCACAGCATCACTGGTGGAATACGACTTTCTCCTTTTTGTTTTTTCCCTTCTTGTTTTCAACCCTGTAGCAGTCAGTCGGGTCAAGACGTGTCACAGTCGGACTGCTCTGTCGCAGGTTTGATCCCACCAACGTGTCTTTGAGCAACAACCCTGAAAACGTAACAGTCGGACTGACGAGTTCGAACCCTTTAGAGCCTCTCTGAAGCATTTAACGTCACACGGAGTCGAACTGTGACGTGTGAAACGTTGGGATCAGAGTTCCTGTTTAAGGTTTCCTTCTTTTTTTGTTTTTTCTTTCTCACAGTGACGTTTTTCTGTTGGATCCTGACTGAATAACGGGCAATATGAACGGTTTCTCTGTGGAACACAGTCTTTGTTATCAGTTATCAGATTACTTCTCACTGTACATCAGCTGTTTGTTTCCAGTAGGAAACAGGAAGTTCATGTGTATTTCCACCACCCGTCGCGGTTACTGCAAAGAGTTTAACGAGATAAAGCGAACTAAAAACAGGATTAATGTGCAGGTTTATGGATGTTTGTGAGAATAGGTTGTGCATATAGTTTGAATGCAGCTCAGTGTTCAGCGCTGACCCGGTGCTTCCTGAAAACCTCCAGATGTTGCCGTCATGTTACAGCCGGTTGGAGTTTGTTAGATTTTAATGTTTGTCTGTTTTCTCCTCTCGGCACAGAAAGACTTTATTTTTCTCCACAAACATCAGCTCTGTGTTCGTTACTGTAATCTGTACTGCTGCGTGTCCCCAGAGGCTGCGACTGACCACAGTTTAGTGGATAAACTGTCAGAAAATAGTGAAAAATTGTCTTCTAATGACAAATATTTTCAGTTATATAAAAGTTATATAAAACAGTGAATACATTGGTGCATCCAGACTCATTTATCAAAAATATTGCTGCTTAATTTCTTCTGAATTAGTTGATAAATGAACCAGTTGTTGAAACTGTAGTGACTAGAAACAGAGTTTTATATGTGTAGATTTGGGCTGGGCGATAACGGCAAAGACAATAAAATCAAAGAATATTCTAATCTACTAAAACATGATTGAAACATCCTGTGTTTTATGGTTTCATGTGCAGGAGTAATAAAAGAACTGCACCATCTGATAAGGGTTCTCACTGTGGAGCGTCAGTACCAGTTAGCTGCCAGCAGGTGGAGCCAGTTTGATCTACACACTTTATGGATGAAAGGAACAAACACACTGGACACAGGTTACCCAGACGGGGAAGACTCAGCCGGTAACACACAGGTCCACATTAATACCCTTACTCCACTACAAGTTCTCATTCTAGACCTTCGTTAGTATTACAGCAATATTTACTCCAAGTACTCGTAGTGCAGTCAGACGGTCCCTGTCAGTGTTTTATTATCGATGATGCTTTTGGATCAATACTGCTGCCACATTAATGTTTATTTATTATACAGAAGTTTACATTTTGGCCTTAGTAAATGTGCTTTGGCCTCCAGATTTAAGGTCTTTGTAGCGTCTCTCCTCGTAGAGAGTGCGGTCTGTTCTCAGATCAGCCTCGTCACCGTCGGGTTCGACCAATCACGTCTCAGTTTACTGGCCGGGGCGGATTGCTAATGTAGCCGCTATTATCTGCGTCAGTCGTCAGCGTAAAGTGATCTTTTTGTGCTCGTTGTACAAATTCATAAACATTCACATTAAATAAATCGGACACGTTGCCCAGCCTTAATGCGTCGTATTAACTCGACTGTTCCGTGTGAGATGAGCGGAGTGGCCCTTTAAATAACTCGGCTCCTCTGAACACCGATTATTTTCCCCTCGCAGATGTTTGTCTCCTCCCCCCCGACGAGCAGGAAGTGAAACGAACGACAAAAGTTGCACAAGAGTCCGTCGCTCGCCCCCGAGAGGAGCTGCTGCTGGCGGCGGGGAGGAGGAGTTTATTATGGCTGTACATAGAAATCTAATGTGTATATAGAAGCTTGAACAGATGAAATAGAGCAGTAAACATATTCTAATAAAACTACTAGTGCTACAGGACAGCTTCTGATTCAGAACGCATCGGCAGGGACCTCGAATGTTAACGCTGGGAATAATTTAGAGGGAAGTAGCGACGACGAAGGAGCTGTGTGGCTTTAGCTTTCACCTGTTTTATATATTTTTTTCCCATTGTTTTATTTTTGGAAATGTCTGTTTTAATTTTAATACTGTTGTTTTTTATTATTAGTGGCAGCAGGAGTGGAGCGTTGTTTGTTTTCACCCTTAAAGGCACACAGACGAAACCACTTTATAGAACTGATTCTCTCTTTATCGTTTGTTTGTCCTGAAACAGAAATAAATGTTCAGAGATGAAGGTAACCAGAAGTGCTCGTTAGAAGTTGGTCTGTCACTCCGTTTCTTCTCCTCTTCCAGCTCCTTATTTTAGATTAAACAAGTTGTCATGCCTTTATTTCACTTTGTATTCCTGTTTTAAAGTCACTGGGTAAATATTAAGGTTGTAAATGACATTACATCTATTCTGTGGCCGATACGATATGGATGTGTAAGGAGGTATTGTAGTGCCAACTCAAATATATCAATTTAATCGTCTTCAAACTGAATATTGTTAAACTGTATTTCACAGGTTGAAATTTGGGAGATAGTTGTCGGGTACATGTCTGTGCTTCCTCGTCTTCCTGCAGTCAGAGTCCTGGTCAGAGCCTCAGTGAATCAGCTCGTTACTGTTTCCTGTCGTCAAACTGCTGGAAATAAACTACAGCAGAATGTAAGAGATATTATACAGAGCTCAGAACCAACTCATCACCTTCCCAAACCTCCCAAAGGGGGCCACTGACGATGTGACGGCTGTTTACCGATTGTCTCCGATGCCAGATAATGCGGGGGACGATGAGTCGGTCGATCACTATAATAATCCCTTCATTCACTGCAGTTAGACGGGAAGATGTTCCCGCTCTGCAGCTGCTGCTTCGGCTCAGAGTCTGAACTCTCAGCAGCTCTTTCACAATAAATTAACAAAATAAAATGATAAAACTCACTTTAAAAATCCAATCAAACATCTGTGAAATAGTTTTCAATGTTTATTACAATGTTGAGTTTGTGTCACTAAAGAGCTCAGAAAACATTTTCTCTTTAGGCATTGTTTGTATTGTGTAGATTTCTATCGATATGTAGGATCATTGAATATTGATCCAGGTTAATATATTGTTACACCCATTGTAAATATGGAATAGAATAATCATTTATGAGACCAGACAGAACTTTTATTAATTAAAAACTGCAGCAACATTTATTTGGTTCAACCTCGGTGTGGATCCTCGCCGTAACTCTCCGGTACCGTTTCCTGTTGAACATTATCACCGCCAGTATTCTGTTTTATTCCAGCGAGAACTTCAAACATCCTGAGCTTCTGATTTACATTTGATTTCTTCCTGTGGGAATTTCCACTCATCAGTTTTCTGTTGAAGACGGTCGGGTGTTTTTGAAGCGTCCGTCCATCCAACCTTCCTTACCAAACGCTGTAACAGCGGGTGACAGCGGCTTCGGCTCACTTCCTGCTCAGTGAAGTGGCGATAGTGAGTCGCGCTGACTGCGGCGGTAGAACCAACCTTCTTCTTCTTCGTGTTGAAATGTTCCATATTTGATCACCTGAGCTGAAGGTGAGCGGACTGTTCACTGTTACTGATGATCACTCGTCCACTCAGGATCAATAAAGAACGTTAATATCAACGATAATAAAACTGATCATGTGACGGCTGATTTCTGTTTCTCCAGCGCTGATATGAGATTTAAAGGTACAGTGTGTAGTTTCTGCCACTAGGGGCTCTCTCACATCCAAACAGTAAGAGAAGAGGAAGTGTGATGAGGTGGTGAAGCAGCGTGGGATCATGGGAGTTGTTGTCTTCACCACCATTGGCGTCATTGCAGTCAGCTTCTCCCGGTTAGGATTCCTTCAGTGTTCATGGTTCAGGAGGTTTCTACCGGGAGCCCAATGATCCACAGAGGTCTCCTCCTCTCCAACACAAACAGACCCGCTGATTAAAACCACTAAACACACTGAATAAAGCAGTTCCACCTTAACATCCGGTTCAAATCTAGAGTTAAAAAGCACCAAGATCTAAACAGTGGATGGTAAACAGTCAATGTATGACAGCTTCTGATTATTGGTTATTGATTGAATCAGCTCAGTATAGAATCAAAAGAGTTTACACACTGTTTCATGAGGAATTGATTTGGCCTCTGGTTCCTGAACCAGCTCCCCTCTACTGGCTGGTTTTAGTTTCCTGTTGTCTAAAGTTAATAATATAATAATATATCTCATATTTTATTGACCCAACTGATGTTTGAGATCTTTCTTCTTCATTTTCTTTTCTTTTTAAATTAAAGTCTGGTTGTATTTATCACACACACACACACACACACCTGCTGTGACCGTTAATATGAATATTCATAAACTAAAGGGGGGGGGCGCATTATGTAAACTGTGTGATTGACAGGCTGTAACAGCCAATCAGCTCTCAGACAGTCTGATGAATATTCAGCAGCAGCTGCTGAGCACAAAGAGCGACTCAGCTGTTAAAGGAGCAGACCGCTCGTTTTCTTTAACCCTTCAACTGTCGACTCTTCACAAACACTCTCTATCCCGGTATTGTTCCTGGGGGAGGGAGGGGGAGAGGGAGAGAGGAGAAAGAGTGGGAGAGAGGAGAAGGAAGAGGGAGGGAGGAGGAGAAACGGAGGTCAGAAGTCTATAAAGGTTTCTTTTTGCCATCCTCTCTGCTGCAGCTGATTGGTCGCACGCCCCTGCCGTAACCATGGCGATGAGCTCATAAGGCCTGTGACTGACAGCTGAGTGAAGATGGCGATGATGTAACCGGCGTCGGTTTCAGAACAAGAAGTGAAATGAAGCTCCTGCCTTCTAATTGGCTCGTTACCGATGATGTAACGGCTCATACGTCTTCACACACACACACACACACACTCACTTTCTCTCTCTCTCTCTCTCTCTCTCTCTCTTTTATTCTTTTTTGTTCTTTCTTTCCTTCAATCTGTTCGTATCAGCTGTATTTCTCTATCTCTTCTTTCTCAGGTGAAACAATTTAAACAAGTTTAATAAAGTATATAAAATTACACAGGAAGAGAACAGCTGACAAACTGTACGATGAATATTGATCAGAGAGGAGATGATATTTATCTCTATTTATTTATTTTATTTTTTAACAAAACATACAAACATAATTGTACGTGCAACGAACACTTTCACTTTCTAGAAGGTTCAATTTCTGTAAAACAGAACAAATTCTATTTGATTTGAACGGTTACTGAAGAGCTCAGTTTGCCTCCACTGAGACTGCAGCAGAAACAATCAGCTGATTCGAGCGAGCTAACGCTGACCGATAAACGCTGACCGATAAACGCTGACCGATATCTGACTCCGGTTTTTCATTAAGAGTCCGAGGGTACGGGGCAGTTAGCTGTAGAGTCGTCTGATTTTCTTTCATCGTTCCGTCCTTTTCCTCCGTCTCCTGTCCAGGTTACCATCTTCCTCCTGCTTTATGTCTCAAGCATTGATCCAATCAGAAACCTCTGTGGCTGCAGTTCCTCTAACGGCCACTAGAGGCTGATTCATGAACTGAGATTATAGTTGTAAAAAATTAAAAATATTCATTAATAAAGTAACTAAAGCTGTTAGATAAATGTAATGAAGTAGAAAAAGTAATATATTATATAATCCGTAATAAATCCGTCTGAGATCTGAAGTCTGTGCAGCAGCCACATTTATTACGTTGTTATAAAGGTTCAGTCGACACTGAAGCCGATAGAGCCGGAGCTCAGCCGGGGTTCAACCGGAGCTCAACCGGGGTTCAACCGGAGCTTAACCGGGGTTCAACCGGAGCTCAACCGGAGCTCAACCGGGGTTTAACCAGGGTTCAACCGGAGCTCAACCGGGGTTCAACCGGAGCTCAACCGGGTTTCAACCAGAGCTCAACCGGGGTTCAACCGGGGTTCAACCGGAGCTCAACCGGAGCTCAACCGGGGTTCAACCAGGGTTCAAACAGGGTTCAAACGGGGTTCAACCGGGGTTGGAGGCGATTTGTGATACTTCCTGAAACCAGATTAGAACTTTTCTGAAGCATTAAGAGATCCAGCACAGGATCCTTTTTATTAAGAACTCGCCACTCATCTTCCTACTGCCCTACAGGGGCGCTGGGTCGGGGGGTCGGGGTGCGCTGGGGTGATTGTTGGACGGACGGCGGCTCTAGCGGACGCTGCGGAGCGGTTTCAGGAACTGACACAACGACCATATTTGGAAAACAAGGCAGGTTAGAATAAGACAGGTTGTTCATCCACTGTGTGTGTGTGTGTGTGTGTGTGTGTGTGTGTGTGTGTGTGTTTATGTCCAACGCATCAGTGAACATGTGTAACAGGCCGGGAGGTCGACTGTGTGTGTGTGACATCAGCAGGCTGACAGAATGAGAGCTCTCTTCTGCACGCGCTCAGTGGCTCTGCTGGCTCCACACACACACACACACACACACACACACACTATAAATAATAACTGACAGAGACGGGCTAGCTGTTTTACGCCTGTCTTTATGCGAATGCTAATGCTGACATCTTTCTCACCCTGACAACAGTTCATTGATGATTTCTGCTTCAGGAAGTTAATATCTGAACATTCTCACCAACATGTTTGTTGCAACCTGATTTTAGTTTGAAATTAAAAGTACTATAATAACTCTGGTCTCCACATCTGTTGGCCAACAACAGCTGCAGCTGCTGTGGCTGGTAGCTCCTTCAAACTGGCAACATTTTTAGTTTTGATTTGTTTTTGGCTTTATTGATGAAACATCATTGATTAGGTTTGATTTTAAAGCCAAAATTGTTCAAATGAACTGGATTCAGGAGGTTTTTGACTTTAAGGCAGCTCTTTCAAACATCTCTGGGTTTTCTGTTTGCAGCTTTATTGCTGAAATCAAGTTTGATTTTGATTTTGATTTTATGACTTTGTTTTGACAAATTTAGTAAAATGTGTGAAAACACAAATAGTTAAATTTGTATTATATACGATATGGTTATAGATTATAGATTATAGATTATTACAGTCACTGTAGCTCCAGATGAGCTCAGCCTGCTGCACCTGTTGATTATTGATTACAATCAATTATCTGATGTGTCCGTGGGTCGACTGTGTGTGTTGTTGTGGGGGACATAATTCTGTTTACGTACATTATGGGGACTCGCCTCATTTTGGGGAACACAGTCCCCACAACGTCCGTCATTCAGTTGGAGGGTTTTGATGTGGTTTTAGGCCGTCGTGGTTCAGGTCCAGTCTGAAGGATTTTAACTGTCTGAAGATGTTTATGAATGTCTTTTTTTTGGTCTATGTTTTTTTTATGTCAAAAATGTCCTAATTTTCCAGGAAGTATTAAAACAGTCAGACTACACGTAGAGAGGAGCTCAGCCTGCTGCACCTGTTGGTTACTGATTACAATCAATTAGCTGATGTGTCCGTCCGTCGGCTGTGTGTGTTTCAGGTTTGAACATGATGGAGCTGGTGTCAGTTTACAGGAACATATTGCATGCTGCTCCTGCAGGAGGAGTCGGCCATGCATACAGGAGGAAGAGGAGGAGGAGGAGGAGGACAGTCAGTGTGTGTGTGCTGAAATAAGATGTGTGTGTATCCAGTTACAGTTTTGTGTTCAGCTGATCGTTGCGGTTATGAACGTGTGACGTGATCAGATTACAGCGCACACAGATCAATAAAAGGTCAGCGGGCTCTATCGGAGATCAATAGTCAGCAGGTGTGCGGACTGCAGGTCGCCGTTCCACGTCCGCAGACTCAGTGACTTGTCATTGACCTTTCTAAAAACAACCCGCATTGATTAGTGACTGTATCAGAGGCCTGATTGATAACGTATTGATGGTCAGTATTGATGGGTGGTCACATGATCAGCTCTCTCACCTTTCATCAGTTAACACCTGCTGACTCAGCGAGTACTCACCTGCAGCGTGCCTGAGAGCCAATCAGCTTCTTTCTGTGAGACTCCATGACGACGATCATTCAAAGGGTCCTGAGGATGGTTTCTTTCTGGGCTCTGATTGGTTGTTTTCATTCGGGCCCCGTAGGAGCAGCAGGACGAACCGGATCAGGAGAAAGTCAAAGTTATTTATATAAAAGTGACTGCAGCTTTAAATCTGCTCAGAATTCATCCAAATGCAGTTACTGAGTTCACTGTTCTGTTCATTGTTCAATAATAATAATATGAAATATGATAAAATATGAGTTTAATAGTTAACGACTGGCTCACATTCAGCAGCAGGAAATATTTCTTTACGTCGATTTGAACAAAACTGGATTTTAATCGTCGTTGGTTTGAATTTTGGGTAGAAATTAAAAAGTAATATAACAAGTAAAGTAACTAATTACTGTAAGCAAAGTAATATTATTACTTTTTAAAACAGTAGTTAGTAATAAATTACATTTCTGACAGTAGAGCCTCTCACTCACACCGGAGCTTTAATACATATTTCTGATAAAGAAAACGTCAGCTGAGATTTCCAGAACTTTATTTTAATAAATACAGTTAAACCTTTTATACTGTTATCATAAAAGGATATTAGTGCTTTTGATTTTAAGTTTTAATTCACATGTTCCTGTATAGATAATACAATTTTTACCATCAAAAGAAATATAAACGCTCTGAGGAGGTTTTACAGTCTGTAATATAAAATGTGGTATAATTAAAGGTTTGATATCAGTGTGTGTTACTGTTACACAAACTTTCACTTATGTCGGGTTTACAGTGTTTTACTGTAGAATCTACAGACAGTTTATTGATTATAGATTAATGATCTGCTGTAATCAATATCTCAATAATGAGGCAGTGGCGGGTGAAGTCTCGCGGTGTTTCTGTGTGTGTGAGTGTCCTGATGAATATTCCCGCTGCCTGTCGTCAGGGATATTTTCAGTTCCATCAATTTTACAGCACTGCAAGTAAATGTGCCTGCGCGCTCCCGACACACACGGACAGCGCGGGAGCGCGCAACTGCAGCAGATGAGAGGGAGAGGAGGGAGGGAGGGGAGGAGGAGGGAGGAGTGTGAATGTTACGAGTCACTTCTCATTCCACTAATTTAGCAGAAAGGGAGGAGAGAGAGAGAGGTAGAGAGAGCCTGGCGGTGCACTGCTGAGCCAATGGGGACCGTGAGACAGGAGCCGGACTGTCGGAGCCTCTGCAGTATCTGACCTGAAAACAGGAGCCAGAACCCGCCTCCACGAACCACCACGAACCACCACGAACCACCACCACTGCTGCTGCTGCTGCTGCTGCTGCTGCTGGGAAAACCGACGGCACCCGAACGCACCGGGCCGGACGGGTTCTCCTCCTCCAGGTGAGAGGAGGTGAAAACGCGGACGCAGAAAATAATCCCCGCCGTTTATCTCGGAGATATCGCGGAGAAATACACACACACACACACACACACACACACGGTCGGTGTCCGCGGAGGAGCCACCGGGGAGCTGCGGAGGCTCAGTGCGGAGAGGAGGAGCGCAGATCGGGGTTCGTGTTCTCCGTGGCGGAGCTCCGTGTTTACGCAGCGGCTGCAGAGAGCGAGGAGAGGGGGGAGGAGGACGCGGTGCAGCCGGGACGAGCAGGTTTCTGGAGGATTTCTTTCTATATAAAAGGGGGTCAGTACCGCGGTGCGGAGAGCCAGAGAGAGAGAGAGAGAGAGAGAGAGAGAAGGTCTCTCTACCTCCAGATGGGTTAAAACCGGTTCGGTCTTCCCGAGCCGCCCTCCGGAGCTCACACCTGCTCTCACCTGCCCACCCCGACCTGCAGGGGGCTGTATGATGTAGGAGCCACCACCCCCCCACCCCAAGAGTCCCCACTCTCTGCATCACTATCCTTTAACCCCCCCACCCGCACCCACCCACCCACCCACCAGTGTATCTCTGCCCCCCCCACCCACCCAGCGTCCCACCATGCCGGCGGGGATGAAACCGCTGGAGAAGTTCCTGAAGAAGCAGACCACGGCGCTGACCCGGGCCGGGGGCTTTGTTGGAGGGGTGGCAGATAAGGCCAGCGGGGGGACCGGGGCGTCCCGCCGGAGAGCCAGTCTGTCCCGGGTCGTACCGTTCTTCAGGGAGACGTCACCGGAGAGCGGACAGGCCCGAGAGGTGTTCAGGTGAGACATGACGGACTTGATCCAGTCCCTCCAGGATCTCACGCTTTATTTAGCATCGTTGCAGCTTTTCTAAAAAAAGATTGCGATGTTTCATTTTTTGTGTGATAAAGTGAAATAGTTTCAATTCTTTTTGTAAAATTCATTAAAAATCGAAGGAAACTTGTTCCAGCGGGAATAAAATCTCAGTAGTCTGGTGGCGGCTCGATGCTACATCGCTGAAAGTGGCGGGAAAACGACAGAGACGTTTGCGGTTGGACAAAATGTCAAGGTCACACAGAATTCCCAGTGATTGGATGAATTTTAGTAAAGATTCATCGTGAGACGGTTAAATTGCGATGAAAATATGTGAAAGTGAAAAATGAATCGAGGCGTGACAGAGATTTTAGTTTCACTTTTACAAAGAAAAGAAATAGAAATAGAACAGGATTCGATCATTTGAGAAATAAAATACATTTTGTAGATTATCTGAGAAATAAAGGACTCGTCGGACCTTACAATGATAATGTGTGTAAAACGGATTCCAAACTAAAGACTGACAGCGAGATGAACATTTCACGTCACGATTATTGTGGCCAAAATAATAAATATTATTATCACAATAATCATGAAAATAAATAGATCCTCGTCTCACAGGATCAGGATCAGGATTTTAGGCTCCTTCAGAATAAATCAGGAGAGACTTTACGCTCGAGAGAGAGACAGTCGAGCCATTCGAGGAGATTCCCAATTATCGCGATGTATTTTGCGATACATCGTATATTGTGTTTGTTTACAGTATGTTTTTGATCATCGCGATAATATCGTGCATTATTTGACGTCATATTTTCATATCGTCCCGTACCGACTGTTGGCCCCGATTGTGGTAGTAAATATTCAGGAGATTAATCTAATGTAAATAAATATTAAATAAATATAAAAACCAATAAAATCATTTTTAAGAAAAAGTGTCAAAATTCTCCGATCTTTAGTCCTCGCTGAATATCTGATCAACATTTTATTGATCAAACATCATCAATAAACAGAGAAACTGACTATCAGCTTAATGGATGATGCTAGTCGTTAGTTGGGGCCTGATTTGTACCTGAGGGTCTTTCATGGAAAACTAAAAGTGAAAGTGTTTTTGTTATCCAGCATCTGATCACCGACTGTTTGTTCTGAGTTGGTTCCAGATGATATCTGTGTGTCTGCTATAACAGGTAAACAGGTTCTGGGCCCCGGGGCCGGCTCTGCTAGCTGAGTTAGCTAACCAGCAATAAAACCACCTCAGTCCTTTATTCCCTGCAGTCAAACTGACCTCCATCAGCATCAGATGCTGCATTCAGTCCCGGTTTGGACCTGCTGTTCACTGGGAGCTCCCAGTCCGACAGAGTCAGCTAATGGATCCACTATAGCTGCTGGACTGGGGGGACGTAACACACAGCGCTATTATCCCGTCGTAGATATGAGGACGCTAACAACTCTCTGATTCTGGTTTATGTGGACTTTTAAAATCCTGCTGACAGACTTTAAACCTTTGACCCCCTGCAGCCCCGACAGTGAGGACCCCCCCTCCTGGCCCTCTGCCACAGGGACCGGCCTGGTCACAGCGCCCAGCAGCGCTAACGGCTCCGGATCCGGTTCTGGAGGAGGAGACATTCGCAGTCCGTCTCTGTCCAGCGATGAGCAGAGCTCGGAGGCGAGCCTGATCACAGAGACCAGTAGCGGGGGAGGAGGAGGAGGAGGAGGAGGGACGCCTCTTCCACCCGACACACCGGACAACCTAACCCTCTCTGTGCTCGACAGCGTGGCGGGAAAACGTCACGCACACTGCACAGGTAGGAAGCTTTCTTTTTTGGTGACCAGGCCCAACGTGGCCGCCAGAGGAGGTCTGACGAAGACCAGAATGATCTGCTGCTTCTGAGCAACCTTCATTTAATCAGCCCATTAAGATCCAATTCTCATTTACACACAATATATAGTATTAATTATATATATTCTTAATGATATATAATATTAATTATATATATTATTAATTATATACAGTGTGAACACTACTGTTCCAGACAGGATGGGTTAAGAGCAGGAAATTAATGTGTGTACTGAGTTATTAAAGGAGCAGAATGGAATGGAAGTTTAAGCAACTTTTGCAACTGGTTCTAGTCTCTGATTGGTTCCAGTCTCTGGTTCCAGTCTCTGGTTGGTTCCAGTCTCTGGTTAGTTCTAGTCTCTGGTTCCAGTTCTGGTTAGTTCTAGTCTCTGGTTCCAGTCTCTGGTTGGTTCCAGGCTCTGGTTGGTTCCAGTCTCTGGTTGGTTCCAGTCTCTGGTTCCAGTCTCTGGTTGGTTCCAGTCTCTGGTTGGTTCCAGTCTCTGGTTAGTTCTAGTCTCTGGTTCCAGTCTCTGGTTGGTTCTAGTCTCTGGTTGGTTCCAGGCTCTGGTTGGTTCCAGGCTCTGGTTGGTTCCAGTCTCTGGTTGGTTCCAGTCTCTGGTTCCATTCTCTGGTTGGTTCCAGTCTCTGGTTAGTTCTAGTCTCTGGTTCCAGTCTCTGGTTAGTTCTAGTCTCTGGTTCCAGTCTCTGGTTGGTTCCAGGCTCTGGTTGGTTCCAGTCTCTGGTTGGTTCCAGTCTCTGGTTCCAGTCTCTGGTTGGTTCCAGTCTCTGGTTGGTTCCAGTCTCTGGTTGGTTCCAGTCTCTGGTTAGTTCTAGTCTCTGGTTCCAGTCTCTGGTTGGTTCTAGTCTCTGGTTGGTTCCAGGCTCTGGTTGGTTCCAGTCTCTGGTTGGTTCCAGTCTCTGGTTCCAGTCTCTGGTTGGTTCCAGTCTCTGGTTGGTTCCAGGCTCTGGTTCCAGTCTGTGGTTGGTTCCAGTCTCTGGTTGGTTCCAGTCTCTGGTTCCAGGCTCTGGTTGGTTCCAGTCTCTGGTTGGTTCCAGTCTCTGGTTCCAGGCTCTGGTTGGTTCCAGTCTCTGGTTGGTTCCAGTCTCTGGTTCCAGTCTCTGGTTGGTTCCAGTCTCTAGTTGGTTCCAGTCTCTGGGAGCAGCGTTCGGGTTGAATCTGTGAGAACATAAATGGCTACTTACTGTTGGAGCTGCTGAGTAGAGAACGGAGATATGAAGGTTTTATGAACTGGTCCCAGTGGATCTGACTGTGGAGTTTGTGGACTAGAGAGTCCAGGTTACAGTGACGAGTGCTGAACCTGTGGTGACGGTCCGGTAAATGACGTCCAGTTTATTGATTAGAGCAGGTGAGCATGCGTTGTGTTTAGAGTTCAAGAGCAGGCATATATATCTGTTTTACAGCGAGAAGGACTGAAACACTTTGACTGGATTTATTCCTATAAATATAAATATAAGTATATTTATCTATAATTGTTATCTGCAGCAGGTTTCAGGTTCGGGGCAGAAGACGTGTCGCGTGCAAACCTCCTGAAGAAAGGGCAGCTGCTGCCCGAGAAGCGAAGGGAACTAAATTAATTTGACATTTTAGGTTTCATCCTCGACTCGAATCCCAAACGCTCTACGGTTTCTGTGAGAAAATATAAAATATAAAAATATAATATATAAAATATAACGTCCTTCAGGTTGGAGTTCAGATTCTGGCTGTTTTTCTGCAGGAAGATTTCCAGTTTATAGTTCATATACAGACTGTTCCTGCAGCCAGTGTGTGTGTGTGTGTGTGTGTGTGTGTGTGAGTGTGAGTGTGTCTGTGTCTGTGTGAGTGTGAGTGTGTGGTTACATAATCGCTGCCGTCCTCTTTCAGAAACGCAGCCTGCTTATTACAGCTGAAGTGGGTGTGTGCATGCATGCGTGTACGTATGTTCTTCTGCAGGAAGTGTGTGTGTGTGTGTGTGTGTGTGTGTGTGTGTGTGCAGCAGTGATTGCTGCCTGCTGGGAGCTGCAGGGTGTGTTTGTGTCCACGTTTCATTTGGTCTTTAAAATATATTTTTCCAGAAGCAGAAATAAGAACGATAAGATGTTTTAAATGGTAAAATATTCAATATAATATTAATATTTGTAGAAATATCAAATAATAATATATTAAAATATATAATTTGAAATAACATGAAAAGACTCAAATCAAATATTAAAAAATATCCCAGAAATTGCCAAATATTTATAAAAACATTCATAAACATAAAACCCTTGAGAGGCTGATATAATATAGATATATTAATTATAAATAAATACAGTAGAGCTGCTGATATATATAATTTATATGTAAAGTATTTTAAAACTAAATGTTATTATTAACACATTTGAAAAAATCCACAAATTGAAAAAATAAACTCCTAAAATTAGATATCTTTATGGATTATTGATCAGTATACACTGTATCTTTATGGATTATTGATCAGTATACACTGTATCTGTATGGATGATATTGATCAGTATACACTGTATCTTTATAGATGATATTGATCAGTATACACTGTATCTTTATGGATGATATTGATCAGTATACACTGTATCTTTATGGAAGGTATTGATCAGTATACACTGTATCTTTATGGATGATATTGATCCTGTATTGACAGTCAGACTGTGGACATATGACGGCCTTTACGTGTTGTTATGAACACGTTAGGAATTGTTAAAATGTGATATTTCTTAAAGGGAGTTTGGTGCAGGGAGCTTTTAGTTGGATTCAAACTGCTGATATGGATCATTGTTAACGTTTAGTCTCCACTACAGAAACACTAGCTAACTGCTGAAGGCTGATCAGGTTGTCTGACGGTATCAGTTTGATTAATGCTTTATTAATGGAGTATTGATTACTGATCAGGATCATTATCAGTTGCAGGTGAAAGTTCAGCGTTTGGAGGAATCCTCTTGCTCTCTGGTTTTACTCTGCGCTATGTAACTGCAGATCGATGGAAGTGTTTCTGGTTCGTTCTCAGCAGATAGAAAAAGCTCCTGATGTTCAGCTTTACGTTGTAATATTTTGGAGTAAATCCCGAAACTGCTGCGGAGCACAAAGTGTCTGATGGGTACGAGTCGGAAACGCTCTCTCTCACACACACACACACACACACACACACACACACAGACACACACAGTTGTTCAGTAATGAAGACGTCTGACTGCTTTCATCTGCGCTCGTCACTTTTATGGATAATCCAGCACTTCCTTCTTGTTAAACTCTCACAAAGGATGCATTATCATCAGCTCATTGTGTGTGTGTGTGTGTGTGTGTGTGTGTCTGTGTGTGTGTGTGTGTTTGTTATGCAACTCAGTTAATATTCAGTTTATCTGCGGAGCTTCAGCAGAGTTTTCTTTTCCTCCCAAAACTTTTAAATGTTGCTCTTCACAGAACCAAACAAAGTTTAATCATAGATTCAACAATTAAAGTTTATAAATGAGATTATGATCATCAATAATGATTCTCATTGGAAAGACTAACAGAGGTGGTTTTGGTGAGTTTTATTTGGTTTCTGTGTGTTTTGGTAAAATCAGTGGTTTGATTTTCTGGTGGGTCGTACGCCCGTTGTTTTGGTCTGAGATCCTGGTTCTCTAAGTTGATCATTAGTAGAGATCTGATGGATATTTGCTCTCTTTCAGCTGCTGGAGGCTCCACTGTGTTCGCTGAGTCTCTGACTGTGTCTGTTTGCTGATGAGCCGGTACAGTACAGCAGCTTTTACAGCTTTTATTCTGAAAGCGCTGAGCTGGAACCAGAACCTCTCTCTCTCTCTGTGTGTGTGTGTGTGTGTGTGTGTGTGTGTGTGTGTGTGTGAGTCTTTGGTTTAATTACTGTGAGATATAATATTGAGCGTATTGATCGGTTGTGGCTGAAGGTTTGGACTCGATATGAAGTGAAGATGGTTCTGTGGTCTCACTGTGGGCCCGTCTCACTCTCTGCTGTGAGACATCATCAAAGTGTGTAATTAAGTGGAGCTGCAGTGTTTCTGTTGGCGCAGTTACAAATACATCCCAGGCTCAGGGTCATGATGCAACAGCCGCTCACAAACATTTTTAATGCTTAATGATTAATGATTAATGATTAATGATTGGAACCTACAGTTTCTAATACAATATATAAAACCATATGTGTGATACAACCTGCAGATGTATGAAAGGTCCAGTGTGACGTCCTCAGACTGAACGTCCCCTGGCTCAGTTTGAAGCTCTCTGATTGGTCGGGCTGTGGTCTCCGGGGTTCACAGATAAACTGGTTTTGAACTGTTTGACTTTCTGAGAAACCCTGCAGCTGATCTGCTGGTTGGAGAGAATGAGGCTGAACTGGTGAGCTGAACTCAAACTGGGCCGACTGGTCGCGTTTTAACGACTGAAGAAGACAGTTAAATTCCTTCATAGACAGAAATCTACTAAATATATTTTATTATTGTCATTGTTGATCCTTTTTCTTTACAGTTATAAACAACAGAAAATGCACATTTAGTTTCCTCTGTGAAGTCTTTGAGTCTTTTGCATTTTGATTGTCTCACGATAAATCTTTTGAAATCACTGTTGTCGATGTTCAGTGAATTATACAAAATAATTTGCAACTATTTTTACAAGTTTTACTTTCTCATGTAAAAACATCGCAACACGAATCTCAGTTTTTTAGATCGGGAGTTTTAGGTCGCAACAATCCTAATAGGGTCATTAAACATTTTAAATTTTTCGCTTTTTTCAGTCTCTTTTAAAAGAGTCTTTAGGAAAGAGTCGTATTGATCGAGCTGCAACCAAACCGACATGGAACCCATGCCGACTTTCCTTTATATCCTTACTTCAGTGTTTGGATGTAAAATACGTCTTAAATCGCGTTCATTATGGTCTATTAGATACTTGGGGGGGCACAGTAGGTCACCTGGTAGAGCCCCATGTAATCCTTACCGCAGCGGCCC